GCGCCACGGGGCGTGCACGCGGCTGCTGCCGCACGGCTCGTTCCCAGGCGATTCTTCCCGAGGTCGTACCACGCGCGCTTCGTTGTCCGACGTTTCGCTCCGCGTGCCGTGAGCGGAGCTTCTCGAGTGGCCCCAGTTTCAAGAGGAGAGTCTCAAAGCACAACGCACCACGCGCGCTCGGCAGGACAAACCCCGCAACAAACAATCAACACACACATCGGAGATCACCGTTGTCGTAAAATGTTTGGTCCTACAGATGTTAGAACAATTCCAGTTTGCATAACATCCACCCCGACACCAGTCCCCTTCCCGACCGTTAAAACGCGAAACGCGGATTCTTTTTTCGTGTTAAAAACTACAGCGGACCACTCCGAACCCATATACTGTACACACACAACTCCGACAAAACGATTACAGCAAAAAGAGAGAGAGGCGTTACAACGCGCGTGGCGAAATCACCCTCCCCGCGTCGCGCAATTACTGCGAATTCACGTGATTATTTTATACCCCCCACCCCCCATTGTGATTCATCAGCAGTCGCATTGTCACTCACCCACCCACTATAATTGGGCTCTGACATGGGCGGCGGTTAACCGGGGGGGGGCTAACGCGGCGCGCAATCAGCCCTCCCCAAGGCTCCCCCCCCCCGTGCTAACCTACTTCGCCCGAGCTTGCGTCCTTTGAACCACGAGGGCCTCTCATCCACAGGAGGCAAGACCCGGCAGGCTCCCTGGACAGCGCCCCAAGGTTCGACACCTCGCCCTGGCGGTGCACGTGGAGCGGCAGCTATCAACCATCGGTGACCCCCCCCTCCCCCGAGTGCAATCTCATTTTGTTTGAATGATGAACATTATTATTGTTGTTATAGAATGTAACGTCCACAAGGACAAGACAGCGCAAGGTTCGACACCCATCGCGGGCGGAGCCCGTGGATGAGCCACGCGATCATCGCTGACCCCCCCCCCACATCCTCCTCCCCGTGCCCCTTGGGCGCGGTCGTTTCCCAGTCGCTCTGCCAGCGGCCAGCCTCGGTGACCGCTTGTTCTTTTTAGACATTTATTTTCACCCAAAAAAACATCTCGTTATCTAAATAGATATGTCAGCCTGCCCTCCCCCACCACCCACCACCAATGACCTACGGATGAAACGCGCCTTACAAATGTCAATGATTACAAGAGCCGGCTGGCTCGAGGCCAGATCCGCGCCGGGGCTTTTAAAACTCCCCCGGCACGCGTGGGCCACTGGTAGATGACGGCGGGGAATTCTCACGCAGAACCACGCGCCCGAGGTCACGTTCTTGCATGGACGGAGAGACCACGTTGACTGCGGAATATTTGTTTGGGGGGCGGTGGGGGGGGGAATGGGCCAAACATCGTCGTCGTCGTCGTTTTTCTGCCAAACATCCGCAAGATGTTTGGCGCCTCTCGATTGCCCGGCGGATCGCTCCAACCCGCGGGCGAACGGGGAGGGCCTCGCTCGCTCCTCACCCAACATCTCTCGGCTCGCCGGCCCCCGGGGGAAATGAAGCCCCCGGTAGCGGGGGGCAGACGGCAGCCCCTGCCCAGCAGCTGTGGAGGTGTGGCGGTCACGCTGTGTGCGTTCTCGAGTGGTGCCATGCACGGTGGCAAGTTGTCCGACGTTTAACGGGGTGGGACCCGCGGCTCCCTCCGGGTTACCCCGGTACCCTCCGCAGACACAAACCAAGACATCGGCACGCTGGACGGCCCCAACCGCGATAGACGGAGACCGAGGGAGCAAAGCTGTGCCGGAAGAAGCTCCCGTGCAGCGAAACGTCGGGCAACGAATGCCGAACGACCGCGCGGCACGACCCGGACACGCATGGGCGACCTGTACCCCCCCCCGCTCCTCCACTCCCTGCTGGGGGTGGCGCCTCGACGAAGATTTCCCTTCGCCTCTCCAGAGTCGAGTCGGTGTCCACTTCGTTCAGCCGTCACCTCCCGTCACCCCCCGCCACCACCACCACCATTGGCCTCTCCGGGGTGAGTGCGAAGTCTACAAAAAAGTCGCGACGCATCGTAGGTGGCGTTTCCCGGAGATGGCGGCGACTGCCTGCCAAAGAACACAGACCCGCGGGGGGCTCCCACGCGGGGGTCACCCCATGCACGACGACTCGGGGCGTCCTTCACGACCCTCGCCATTCCCCGCGGCGACGGTGACGGCGGCGGAGGATTTCACTTCGGCCACCGCTCCCGGCCACGTTCCTCGCGAAGGCTCACGGAGCCGCTCACGGGGAGGGTGTCGCGGTTCGCATGAACTCCCCAACAACAACGACGACGACGCGAAGAATAAATCCCACACCCCCCACCACCCCCCACCACACCCGACCACATGCCGGGTGGCGTGCAACGCGCGCGTGACAATTCACGCCACCCCCCCCCCCCCCACGATTGTGGGGAGGGATTACGGTCCAATTCACAAATCGGTTCCATCGTCTCTGCGTGTGTCACGTGTGTCACGTGTGCCGCGGCTGGACGGGTCAACGTGGTCACTTCGCTTCAGCGTTGAAGGCGCTCACAAGCCGGCGAGCCACCACCACCCCCCCCCCCCCCCCCAAGAAACAGCCGCGTGTGGCCGTCGCCCGGACGTCCGCACGCGGCACGTGCGTGCGGAATGATACAGGGCACCCCCCCCCCCCCCATCGCAAACCATCACAGCAGCAGCGCGCAAACAAAGTTTGAGACGGGAAACAAGAAGCGAGGAAACTTGAGCGTCTACAGAGCCCCCCCCCCCCAGAGAGATCCGCCACAGCGACCGTGGCAGTATGGCGCTTGTGGTGGCAGTGAGGGGGGGGGGGGCTCGCTCCTCAAGAGGGGGGTTCTGACACACGGAGGACGTTTGGGCCGATTCCAGCAACGGGGAGTTTGGCTTCGCGCGGCGAGGGAACGCCGTGGAGCCAAAGAGCCGTGGCGCTGGCTACGAGGCACTCAAAGGTGTTGCTCATTCATCACGAATCCCTCTCTCTATACCCACCTCTCTCTCTTTCTCTCTACCCACCTCTCTCTCTATACCCACCTCTCTCTCTACCCACCTCTCTCTCTCTCTCTCTACCCACCTCTCTCTCTCTCCGCTGCCCATTTATCGATTGGCACACCTGGACGAGTCGCCTCACAGCGGGGAAACCCGGGCTGCGGGTTTGTAATTTTCCCTGAACCTGGAGCCACAAAGCCACGCCGCTTTTGTCAAGACAAAAAAAAAACAAATAAAGAATTACAAATCAGCAGTGTGAGGTTTTCCTTCTTCAAACAAGAATCGCGACGCTCAGCGGAAGCGTGCGGGCACGCAGCTCACGCACCTTCACAAAGACAAAGCCACGCCGTGTAGCCCTGCAGACTCTTGAGGCAAGCCATGGCACAGCGAGCACCGATCGAGGTCAGCACCACACAAGGCGGCATTTGTCTCCCCACGTCCACACGCCACTCCATCACGGAGGCCGGAGACGGGATCTGACTTTCACTCCGCCGGTGATAGCCGCCGACTTTGCAGCACAGTGCTCCAACCAGTGCACCACCACTCCCCACAACGGCAGCCCACGCGAGCAAGCGACGGCGATTCACCACAGCGCTTGTGCCAGGCTAGGTGCACTCTTGAGGTCACGTGAGGTGTCGTAGGCTCGCTGCCGGCAGGAGGTTACGGCACAGACCCACGGCGTTGTGGGTCACCTGACGGAGATGACGCACGATTCCCCACACCACGCACGTGCGCTCACACCACCCGCGTGCTCACACCACCCACGTGCGCTCACACCACCCACGTGCGCGCTTGCATGCACGCACCAGAGGAGGGTACTGGCAGCTGTACAAGATCTCAGAAGTTACATCAATCATCCTCCTCCTCCTCCTCGTCGTCATCGTACCGGATGTTGCAAACATTCCTGAGGTCCGAGAGCCGGGGAATTCACGCCGACGGTGACGCCGCCGGAACGTGGCTGGGGATTCTGGCACGCGATCCGCTTTGGGCTCGGGGGAGGGGAGGGGGCTTTTGACGATTCATCAGCACCGTTTGCTTTTTATCTGCACCCAAAATCGCTTCGTGACAAGTTAAAAGGTGCGGTCGGGTGATACGGAGGGTGGGGGGTGGTGGAGGAGGAGTGGAGCGGTGGGGAGGGGAGAGGGGGGAGTTCGGTTTAGGCACAGGCCGCGCGGTGGCACGCGGCCCACGCGGTGCCGGTGATGCTGGCGAGGGCCCGCGCCTGCCGCCCGGTGGGGACGGCGCTCGCCGCCCATCTCGGCCGTGGCCGGTCGTGGAACTCGCGACGCCGGCGGGTGAGCGGTGCGGTGCTGTGCGGTGCGGTGCTCCAACCGCCAACAACCGCCACCCCCTGATGTGAGCGCTCATCCAAGAGATGATGCAAGCGATGAAGACAAGAGGCGGAGGTGCAGAGAGACGAGAGAAGCGTGGACTGAAGATAATTGTGGCGGAAATGAGTTTGAGAAGATCGAGACAGACGAGACAGAGATCCATGAGCTTGGTATACTAATTGGCACGTTTCGTTCATCAGCTCTTGAATTTGAGCTGGTGTTTGGTTTCACCCGTTTATGATGTTCATGAACCTTGGCGCACCTCGAGCCGCTTGGGGCCCGCTGAGCTCTTGCCAAGCCTCTCTCTGGCGGTGCCATCACCGCCACAGCCCGCGCGATGGCCGCATCGGCAAACCGCGATCTCGCCCACAAAACCCACCGGTCGGAAAAAACACGATACGCACCCGAGAGAACGCTGTCACGCGCACACAAACACGCGCCGCCGCCGTCGCACGCACGCACGGCGTGAACTCATCAACGCGCCGACGGTGGCCAGATGGCATGACGTGGACAAGAGGGAATGTCGTGGCCACTGCACCGGCGATGATGCACGCGTTGAGGATTTTTTATGCGTGGGTCAGGAGGCGTCCCAACCTTGCTGCTCTATACGACCTCCAGACGGGAACCCCCCCCCCCCCCGCCTCCCCCCCCCCCCGCCTCCCCCCCCCCCGCCTCCCCCCCCACAGCGTCGTGGCAGTGCCGGGCACGTTGCCGCTCGACGGAGCCGAATCGTCCACTCGGAGACTCCCCTTGAGGCTGCCCCCTTGTTTGTGTATTTGCGGTTGCGGTACCGCTGCTGCTGCTACTCGTCGTGTCGGCGGTAGCGGTTGTTGTGGTTGTTGTTGTGGTTGTTGGTGTGGTTGCCGATGGTTGTTGTTGGTGGGGGCGATGGTCGTGCCGGTGCTGGCGATAGTGTTGATGGTGCTGGTGCTGGTAGTGGTGGCACGGTGGCAGTGGTTCCTATATAGCGCCGGTGGCTAGTGCCGTCGCCGCCGCCGGCGACGCCGACAATGGCGCTGCCCTGGTGGTGCCGGCACCGGCTGAGATCTCACGCCGCCATCTGCGCGCTCTCGCCGGGGTTCATGTGGGGACTGTTCGTGATGAAGCCGATCCTCTGCTTGTGCTTTCTCTGCTCCGTCATCTGCACAGAGACAAAGATCCCCCGTATAGCCTCAACAGACTGTAAGGGCGAGTTCTCTTCGCGAGCGGCACCATCACCTGCCAGCACCACCATCGCCAGCGGCACCATCATCATCATCACCATGAGCATTCTCATCAGCGGCAGCACTGTCATCGTCATCATCAGCAGCAGCAACACCACCACCATCATCGTTCAGTAAATGTAGTGGCCACTGCCGACTGTTGTCTAAAGCTCGGCTGAGCGCTTAAAACGCACGGACACCACCAACGCCTAGTCCCCTACCAGCACCGCCGCCTAATCACCGACACAACATACCAGAGGTGGGACAAAGTCATTGTTATGCAAGTCCAAGTCGAGTCTCAAGTCATCAAATTCATGACTCGAGTCTGACTCGAGTCCAAGTCACATGACTCGAGTCCACACCTCAGAGGTGGGACAAAGTCATTGTTATGCAAGTCCAAGTCGAGTCTCAAGTCATCAAATTCATGACTCGAGTCTGACTCGAGTCCAAGTCACATGACTCGAGTCCACACCTCTGCAACATACCCACTCAGCTAAATACCCAACCGTCTACCAACACATTTACCCACCCACATACGCACACACACACCCTAAACACCCTAAACACCGACCACAAAGACAAAGATCCCCCGTATAGCCTTCAACAGACTGTAGGGGCGAGTGCTGTTCGCTAGTCACACCTATGAAGGCCGGCACGGCGCACAATGGGGTGGGTGGTCAGCACCGTGCCCGGCCGCTTTCGTCCCCCTAGTGACGATGTTTACACACCGCACCAGGAACTTATTTAGAGTTTATGCTGAGTGGCCCTGGGGGAGGCCCAGAACCGGTTCAGATAATCGTCACCGGTGTTAGATGCGAGCGGAAATCAAACTCGGGTCGCCGGGTTCGTAGCGCGGCGCGCTAACCGCCGGATTCCCAGACACACACACGTGCACCCAATACCCACACACTCACTCACCCACCCTCTACCCACCCACACACCTCCTGCCAACGCGACCACCCCCCCCCCCCGCCGCCGCTCACCTGCTCCTTGAGCTCGGACAGCTGGCTGGAGAGGTAGGAGACGAGCTTCATGGTGCAGTCGAGTTTGTCCTGCAGGCCACGCAGCTCGTTCTGCTCACCCTCGCCGTCGCTGCTCACCAGCGACATGGCGCGCATCCGCGGGAACCAGTCCAGGTTCTGCTCCTGTGGGGTGCACGCACGCACACGCACGCACACGCACGCGCACGCACGCGCACGCACGCACACGCACGCGCACGCACGCGCGCACATACAGACGCATGGGCATACAAATGAGCACAAAAGACACATAGACACTCACACGCATTCATAGAGACAGACCCCCGTGTAGCCTCAGCGGACATTTGGAGCAAGTGTTCTTAGCACGCAGCGCCTATGAAAGCCGGCATGACACACGAGGGGGTGGGTATCCAGAACCACGCACGGCCGTCTTTGTTTATTACATCACACCAAGTACGTATTTAAGGCTGAGTCGACCTAGGGGAGGCCCATGACCAGTTCAGATATTCGTCACCGATGTTGACCTCGAGCGAGATTCCAACTGGGGCCGCCGGGTTCGTCGTACAATGCGCTCACCGCTGCGCCGCCGCTCACCATGCAAACCACGTACAAAAACACGCACGCACGCGCTGAGGCCACGTGAGGCATCGAAAGCTCGCCGGGACACGCACAGGTGTTACGAGTTAAGCGACCGAGATTACTGGCAGACGTATACACGCGCGCGCACGCACCACGCACGCACGTGTCGGCGATGGCGAACACACGAGGCCACTCACCGTGCCCCGCGCACCAATCCTATTACGCGTAATCTCACGGGAATGGCCGAGTGATGGTATTGGTGTCAGCGGCGGCGAGGCACGCCGCCCGGCACAAAGTCCCCAACAACGGCCTCTCCAGTGTCCCGCGTCGCAGTTGTAATCCCGGCGGAATCCGACCTCCGCACCACCGCCACCACCACCACCGCCACCACCACCACCACCACCACCACCGCCACCACCACCACCACCGCCACCACCACCGCCACCACCACCACCACCACCGTCATGACCACCACCACCGTCGCTACCACCACCACCACCACCACCGTCATCACCACCGCCGCCACCACCGTCACTCTCGCCGCCACTACCATCACTACCACCACCGCCGCCGCCACCGCCACCACCACCACCGCCGCCACCACCACCACCAAAGCCGCCACCACCACCTCCATCGCCTCCTCCACCATCGCCTCCACCATCGCCTCCACCACCGCTTCCACCATCGCTTCCACCACCACAGCCACCACCGCCGCCACCACCACCACCACCACCGTCATCACCACCGCCGCCACCACCGTCACTCCCGCCGCCACTACCATCACCACCACCACCACCACCGCCACCGCCACTGCCACCACCACCAAAGCCGCCACCACCGCCTCTACCACCGCCTCCACCATCGCCTCCACCACCGCTTCCACCATCGCTTCCACCACCATAGCCACCGCCGCCACCACCACCACCTCCACCACCACCACCGCCGCCACCACCACCACTACCTCGAACTTCAACTCAAAATCTCAACCCTCTGTCGACAGAATCTCCGACATGGTCATTCTGAACTGCACCAGGGACAGGGAGCATCACAGACCTGGGGTTCAACCTCAGGACTTCTGGTGTCTTTAGCTATTACGACATATTTACTTAATTTACTCAAATATTTCACCTGCAATTTAATCTCACGAGACCAAAGCGCGGTCGTCCTACGGCTGTTCAATCGCAGAATCGGATCCATGCCACCCCCGTGTCTCCGATACCGCCAACGTGTGCACCAACAAGAGACAAAGCAACAAACTTAGACCCAGCGTTGGTTGACTTCATCACCAAGATTACGATTCATAATTAGTTAGATCCCTCGTGTCGGTATAAAGTCGATTGTCTAACAACAGTCATCAACCACGCGACAGACCGGTCCATGCCACCTCGCCAACAGAGTTGTGGAGGGTCTCAGTTCAAAACTGTCATCGCAAACCCACACGGACGACGTAACCCGAGAGAAACTGATAACGAAGAATCACGTGACCCACACCGGGGCCGCAATGTCAGAACCTCAGCCGGTGCCACCCCCCCCCCCCCCCATTCTTGCAACGAGGCCGTGACACTGCACCGCCTCTCTAACTCGGGAGCCTCTCCCTGAACTTTGACCCACGCCATCACCGGCTCGCCCCCCCCCCCCCGTCCAAATCGGCCGTCATCCGGCATCGCACGTCCCGGCATTCCGCCCACCAGCGCCGACGCCCGCACCAGCGGCCGCCCGCCCGGCGCTTCTCACCGCGATCATGTCGGCGACGTAACTCTCGGGGCCCGTGTACTCGGTGGGGTCCTTGACGCGTGCCAGCACGATGAAGTAGAGGTAGTGCCACATGTTGTGCTCCACCTTCACGTGCTCCTCAAACGACACCGTCTTGTTGTCGAACTTGTCCCGCTCCAGTCCTGCTTCGCCACAAAGTCGCAGGCAGGGAGGGAGGGGGGCGGGCAGGCGGGGAGAGGCGGTGGTGAGCGGACGCCGAGAGGAGGGTGGCGGCAGGGGGGGGGGGTCACAGTCCGGACTGAGGGTGACCGGCGAACAAACGGGACACGTTTGGTCCTCAAAATTCCAGAGGCTGCCCAGAAAAAAGTACGTTATTTTAATTGTTTTATAATACACAAAGCAGGACTGTTTATCACATTATTATCATCAGCTATGTTCAGTCCACTGCTGGATGAAGGCGTCCCTGAACCGCCACCATCTCTCACTGTCCTGCAAAGTAATAGTTGACCCATCACCACCTGCACACGAGCCGATTTAAATCGCTCCATCTCTCCTCATTGGACGCACACTCGGGTGCATTCTGTTCGCCGCCACTCCGATTCCTGCCCTACGACGATCGTTGCTCCGAGCGACGTCGTCTTGCCCAGGCCCAACTACTTTTTCCTTAATCGTCGTCGTCATCGTCGCCGCTCGATATCGAGACCGCGCCTCTCACGCAGCGGCGCACCTCGCGGCACCCAGCAGGGGACCCCCCCCTCCCCAGTGGCAGCTGTCCCTGCGTGGAACACAGCAGCGGCGGCCGGAGCAAGTTGGCGTCGGTCTGCCAGTAGTGCGGGCGCTGGGGTGCAAGACGCCGCTACGTGCAGCCTTCTCACTCGGGGGGCCGGTGACACCGGCAGACATGGCCCTACCCTCCTCCGGGAGGCCGCCGGGTCGTGACGTGAGAACCGTGAGAAGTGGCCGGGCCTTCCAGAGGGCCGGCGGCGCCGAGGTCGTGCGGACCGGCTCCAAGTTGCGGCCGCCGCCCGCGATCGCGCCGGCTCGTCGTGCCGTGCGCCGAGCCGCCGGTCTCGGCCATCAGCTCGCCGCATCGGGAGCTCCGTCGACGGCGCAAAGAACCGCGGAGAGCGAGCGAGGGCGCTCCGTTCACGGCGCTCGGGAGGGGGGGGCGGGCGGTGGGGGGGGGGGGCGTCGCCGACTCTCACCGCAGATGAAGCAGCTGTTCTTGAGCACCTCCTCCTTGTTCTGCTTCTCGCTGCGGAGGTCGGCGAACGTGTCGATGATGACGCCGAAGATGAGGTTGAGGACGATGATGATGACGACGAAGTAGAAGAGGAGGTCGTAGATGATTCTGGCGGCGAACAGGGGCTCCTGGGGGGGGCGGGGGGAGGTCAGTGCCATCACAGTCACTCTGGAGTCTGTTCCGTGCAAGGCGTCTGCATGTGACAGGCTCTCAAGACGCTGTACAGACACAGTGGACGTAGTTATGAAGCCACGCAAAGGTCCCTGTGTGACCACGTGGATTTCTGTGCAACTTTACGCTCGTCTGTGTGACTCTGCGGCTCAATGTGCGAGTCTACGGCGTCTCTATGCGAGTCCGCACACAATGCGGTATTGATGTACGCAGCGTCTCGTAAATGGGGCCGTCTCCAACACGCTGCAGAGTGATGGTGGCCAGCTCTTAGTCGACACGTTGAGGGCTGCAATGCCGTGGTGAGGCCGTGATGAGGATGTGGTGAGGTCATGGTGAGGTCATGGTGAGGCTGTGGTGAGGCTGTGGTGAGGTCATGGTGAAGCTGTGGTGAGGCTGTGGTGAGGTCATGGTGAAGCCGTGGTGAAGCTGTGGTGAGGCTGTGGTGAAGCCGTGGTGAGGCTGTGGTGAGGATGTGGTGAGGTCATGGTGAGGTCATGGTGAGGCTGTGGTGAGGCCGTGGTGAGGCCGTGGTGAGGATGTGGTGAGGTCATGGTGAAGCTGTGGTGAGGCTGTGGTGAAGATGTGGTGAGGATGTGGTGAGGTCATGGTGAGGCCGTGGTGAGGCTGTGGTGAGGCTGTGGTGAGGCCGTGGTGAAGCCATGGTGAGGTCATGGTGAGGCTGTGGTGAGGCTGTGGTGAGGCCGTGGTGAAGCCGTGGTGAGGTCATGGTGAGGCCGTGGTGAGGCTGTGGTTAGGCCATGGTGAGGCTGTGGTGAGGCCGTGGTGAGGCTGTGGTGAGGTCATGGTGAAGCTGTGGTGAGGCTGTGGTGAGGTCATGGTGAGGTCATGGTGAGGCTGTGGTGAGGCTGTGGTGAGGCCGTGGTGAGGTCATGGTGAGGCCGTGGTGAGGCTGTGGTGAGGCCGTGGTGAGGCTGTGATGAGGTCATGGTGAAGCTGTGGTGAGGCCGTGGTGAGGCTGTGGTGAGGTCATGGTGAAGCTGTGGTGAGGCTGTGGTGAGGTCATGGTGAGGTCATGGTGAGGCTGTGGTGAGGCTGTGGTGAGGCCGTGGTGAGGCTGTGGTGAGGTCATGGTGAAGCTGTGGTGAGGCTGTGGTGAGGTCATGGTGAGGTCATGGTGAGGCTGTGGTGAGGCCGTGCCTCCTTGGAGGGCTTGCGGAGGACGTCCCCGACGCCGCCGCCGTTGCGCAGGCCGTGGTTGAGCACCGTGACGATGCACATGATGAGGGTCTCGCACGACTTCTCCGTCTCCCCCCCCTCCTCCTCCTTGGTACCGCCGTCTCGTGCTGACCAACGGGGAATGGCGGGGGGGGCGGGGGGGCAGCAGTGTGGTTCAAGTTAAACGCGAGCGCGGTGGCACAGACTGGATTCTCGGCGGAAGCGTACACGCGTGAATCCCACATCTCTACAAACAGTAACGTCGTCGTCGTCAGCCATGATCTATCCACTGCTGGAGGAAGGCCTCCCCCCAAGCCGCCGCCATCTCTCACGGACCTGAGACGTAAACGTCAGCCTCGTTAAACGAATCTTTTTTTCAGCGACAAGTTTCTCCTCCTGGATTTATCGACGTGGCACCGGCCTTCTCTCGGCGGCACAACTCCCCGCTCGAGTCTCGTTCACTTAGGAACGACCTTACGCTCGCCGGCCGCCCGCACCCCCCCCCCCTCCCCTGTTACGGACGGAGCCGGACGGAGCCGGACGCACGGACGCTGCTCTCCCACAGCAGCCGGGAAGCGCTCACAAATCATCTCCGGAGCCGTGAGCCGCACGCACCTTCAAAGAGACGGCCTCCTGCTCCTCCTTCTCGCTGGTGGGCGCCGGCCACCACGCAGGACTCGTCCGTCGCGTCACAGAACTCGGACATGAACCTCGATGACGAGTCTCCTAGGATAGACGGGACACGCGCGGGACACGCGGGACACGCACGCGGAACACGCACGCGGGGACAGTGAGATAAAGATCCCCCGTATAGCCTGAATAGAGTGTTGGGGCAAGTGCTGTTAGCGAGTAGCATCTAAGAAGGCCGGCACGGCACACTAAGGGGTGGGTGGCCAGCACCACGCCCGGCCGCCTTTGTCTCCCCAGTGGCGATATTTACTACAGACCACACCAGGTACTCATTTGAGGCTGAGTCGACCTAGGAGAGGCCCAGGTACCGGTTCGTAGCGCAGCACGCTAACTGCGACACCACACGCGGGGACACATGCAGGACACACGCGGGGACACGTGGGAAAAACCACTGTGGACCTCGCAAAGCTGTGCCAGTTTTATAGCCCCCCCCTCCCTGCGGAGGATGATGATGATGATGGTGATGATGATCGGCCGAATCGACCGCTGACATTCGTTGTCGTCCCCCGGCACGCCATCGGCGGAGCAACCCGGGGCGGATCAAGAAACTCCCCAGATTGGGGGGTGCGGGGTAGAAGGGGGGCGGGGAGTGGGAAGGTCTCTTTAAATGTCAAGCTTTTAAATAGGGGCCCTACATTACTAATAACAATAATTATTTTAAAAACATCACTTCTCTGGTAATATCAACAAAATAAATATTTTCGAAATCTTTAGGTGGGGGAAAGGGGGGTGCGGTGGGGGGGGGGGGGCAATCACCACTAACGCTCCCCCACCACCCCCACCGGATTCCACCACCGGCAGAAATGGAATGGAATGGAACTTGGGGGAGAAAAGGGGGCGACGCTTTTCTGTTCAAAGTCTCCCTCCGGGCGGCGGAGGACGGAGCGAGACGTGGAGAGGGGGGGGTGTGGGCGGACTGACCGGCTGGTGGCTTGGCCTCCGCCAGCTTATCCACGTCCAGGATGAAGTCGTCCTTGAGGAACTGGAACCCGACGATGGAGAAGAGGTAGATGAGGATGAGGCCGAGCACGGCGGTGAGCACGATGGAGCGGCCGTTGCGCGTCACGCTCTTGATCACGTTCAGCAGCGTCTCCTCGCGGTACACCACGTCAAACAGCTGCCGGCGAGACCACGGGGGCGGCGGCAGCAGCAGCAGGTAGGAGGAGGGGGCAGGGGAGGGGCGGGAGAATGAGTTCGGTTCCCGGCAAACTGGCCGACACCGTTGCGTTCGTGCGTGGCGGCGCGCGGTCGTTTGAGCATCGCGCTACAAAACAGAAAACCGCGAGTTCCATTCCCGCTCACGGCCAACATCTGGAGACGAATATCTGAACCGGTCCTGAGCCTCCCCTAGGTCGACTCAGCCTTAATAAGCACCCCGGTAACGGTGCGGCGACATCAGCACCGGGGAGACAAAAGCGGCCGGGCGCGGCACTGTCCACGCGTCCCCTTCGACGGGCGTGCCTCGTAACAGGCGCTCGCTAACAGCGCGTCGACGGCCGCACGGGCGATCGCCGTGGCCGTTGCGTGCGCACCAGCAGGCTGAAGAAGAAGGGGTGGGCGAGCAGGCCGAGCACGCAGATGAGGAGGTAGGCGACGTGGTAGAGCAGCTCCACGTCCAGCATGACGGCGCGGTAGCCGCCCGCGAAGCGGCCCCGGTTGCCCACGAAGCTGGCGAGGAAGACCAGCTTGTTGCACACCTGGCGTGCCGGCACAACAACAACAACGACGACGACGACCACCGGTGAGACCGGCCATGCCGGCATGGGATAACAACCACAAGCACAATCACGTTGAGTGCCGCCCCCCCCCACCACAAGGGCGTGTACACACGTGGGAGAGTTTCGCGACCGTGCGTGTGCGTGATCCGCCAACCCTCGCTGCCCCCGCAGTCATCCGCTCGGGTTTGACGGTGAAGTCAGCCCTCCGATCCGGTCGCGACGGACGCGTCGCGACGGACGCGTCGTGTCGGAGGTCGGGGTTGGGCGGGGGGCGGGGGGGGACTCACGTTGGCCGAGCCCAGGAGGATGACGGTGGCCTCGAGGCCGAGTGTGAAGATGAAGAAGGCGATGGCCGGCACGCTGAGCAGCCGCAGCGCCTTGCGGGAGGGGAAGGCCGCGACGCCGACGGCGAGCGCCGCGGCGGTGGCGGCGAGGAGGGGGACGGGCCAGGACTCCAGCGTCCCTGGCGACATCGTCGTCGACATCATCGCCATCACCGATGACAACATCACCATCACCGATGACATCATCATCATCACCGATGACATCATCATCAGCGACGACATCATCATCAGCAACGACATCATCATCATCACCGATGACATCATCACCATCACCGATGACATCACCATCACTGATGACATCATCACCATCACCGACGACATCATCGTCACCATCACCGACGACATCATCACCATCACCATCACCGACAACAACAACAACATCATCATCACCGTCACAGACATCATCATCACAATCGTCAGCATCATCACTGTCGGTTTAGTGGTTTACGCGAACCCCACCGTCATCGTCGTCGCCATCATGGTCGTAGTCATCGGCGCCGCCTGTGACGCCACAACGCGACGTCACACCCCAAGACGTCACACCCCAAGACGTCACACCCCAAGACGTCACACACCAAGACGTCACACACCAAGACGTCACACCCCAAGACGTCGCACCGCGGCCACCTCTCACATTTGCTGCCGTCGAAGGGGAAGAAGAAGGCGACGAGCAGGTTGATGATGACGGCGAGGTTGAACGAGATGCTGCTCCACAGCGTCATGTTCTTGGAGATCCACGAGAGGTACTTCTTGGCTGTGGAGGTGACGATGTCACAACGGCCGCCGTGTCAGTTTTTTGCCGTCACTCGGCGATCGAGTTTCACGTTCTTTGGGGTTTTTGCGCTTTGCCGTAATTGCTCAGTGCTAACCGATTACTTTAAAGGCTGTCACAGGCCTTCTAATCGTTGCAACGTTACAATCGGCGACGATTACGAATGCACACGCTCAGTTGCACAAGAAGCAATTCAATCGTTAAAAGAGCTTTGGAAATGGTGATGTCCATTACTCCGAAGCTTTATCACCGTTATTCGACTCTCTCTGCCCTTCATATCTCCATTTACAATCATTACTGTTTACGTTTTTAGAAGAATGTATTTGGTACCTTAATAATTCCGTTCTTTTATTGCGTAAAAACGAAAAACTTCAGCGGCAAATAAAAATTACTTTTGTTCAAAAGTAAAACGGTCGACGACGACGACGATGCGACGGTGACAACACAGACGCGACACGATCATCGCCGTCTTAATATCGCGCGACCGACACGGCAGCATCGCCACACTGTACGCACTGGCGGCACAGCCCCGACCGGGCATCTGCGACAAAGAGCTTTACGGCTCATGGGATTCCTCCGGTCTACATACAGATCCAGATTCTGATAATCCAGCGCCGTGAAGGGGAGGGTGTCGATGGATCACCCACAAATGCCGTGACGCTTACAATCAAACCCTCTGGGCACCGGGCGTCGCCATCTCCCGGTAGTATAGCAAGTGGGTTCACGTGAGGGTTAGCACCCATCGCGAGTGTTAGCACCCATCGCGAGTGTGGGCTTTCTCCTCGCGCTCCTCCTAGCTGGGTATGAAACGCTCGTCAGTGGAGCAAACATCCCAACGTCGGGCCACAGAGCTTGGCGCAAGGCGTTGGCGAGCGCCGGCTCCGGCTGACGCTCGTCTGCGGCTTCCCGCGCCTCTGGATCTCGAGAAATGCTCTTTGTGTTTCGTTTGTTGTCCTTCCCGCGCAACCTCCGATTGGCACGGTCGGCAGCGTACGGTGCGAAAGAAAGAAGTTCAACGTACACGCGTACGTAACGGAAACCCGCGCCGAAAACTTGCTTAGTAACGATTAAACAAAAAGAAGAAGAATCGTCCTTGCCTTCGAGCTTCTTCTGCCACTCCATCTCGCGGTAGAGCTCCTCCCACACCTGGAAGAAGCCGTTGATCTTGCTGCCCTGCTCGTCGCGCTCCGTCGAGCTGTACACGCGCGCCTTCGACTCCCGCGTCAGGTAGTGGCAGATCCCCGGCACGGGGAACACGATCTGCTCCATCGTGCGGTCCTGACGCACGATCTGTCGCAACGTCCGGCAAACGTCAAGCGAGCGCGCCGTGGTGGGGGCGTTGGGGGGGGGGTGAGGCGGGGTGCGGCGCCGTGGTACCGCGCAAGCCGCTTGTTGCAAAGGTTCGCGGTTCAGATTTGGCAGGCCGTCCTGGTTATTACTGCGGTTGTGTGTTACTGTACCGACAGCAACCTCGCCCCGCCCCCTCCACCGTGAGACGACTGGTGGCCTCGCAAAATAATGACAGCGCGAATAATAAGAAGTTACGATGGGAGGGAATTCCAGAGTGGAGTAGTGCGAGGGAAGGAGCAGAAAGATAATTGAGGTGACCTGCAGTGTGGTGAGTGGGTGAGTGTGTTGTGACCTGCAGTGTGGTGAGTGGGTGAGTGTGTTGTTGTGACCTGCAGTGTGGTGAGTGGGTGAGTGTGTTGTTGAGACCTGCAGTGTGGTGAGTGGGTGAGTGTGTTGTTGTGACTTGCAGTGTGGTGAGTGGGTGAGTCTGTTGTTGTGACCTGCAGTGTGGTGAGTGGGTGAGTGTGTTGTGACCTGCAGTGTGGTGAGTGGGTGAGTGTGTTGTTGTGACCTGCAGTGTGGTGAGTGGGTGAGTGTGTTGTTGTGACCTGCAGTGTGGTGAGTGGGTGAGTGTGTTGTGACCTGCAGTGTGGTGAGTGGGTGAGTGTTGTTGTTGTGACCTGCAGTGTTGTGATTACACGAAGCAGCGAGTGCCTGGTACAGACGGAGTTCTCAACACGGGTGCAGGAATCAACGAGTGACGTTCACGGGAACAGCGACCATGGTAGAAGCGTTCGAGTGATGAGTAGGCGACCGACTGCCGGTGAGTGAGCGAGTGACTGGAGAGTGAATCACTGAGTGCTGGATCATCAAACACCCCGACGACTGCTAGAAGATTCATTCTATCCAGTGACGTAGCGAGGCAGAAGCGGGGTGCTGCAACCCGATTGTGACGACAGGGTTCCAAAGCCGTGGAAATTGACTGCCGTGAGTGGGCAGTGGAGTGTACGGTGAGTGCGGTGAATGTGCGGTGAGTGTGCGGTGAGTGCAATGAGTGGCGGCGAGTGGTGTGGCGGCGTGTGGTGAGTGCGGAGTGTGCGGTGAGTGTGCGGCGAGTGCGGTGAGTGTGTGGCGAGTGCGGAGTGTGCGGTGAGTGTGCGGTGAGTGTGCGGCGAGTGTGGTGGAGTGTGTGGTGAGTAGCCCTGGCGAGGGTCTCCCCGTGCGCCGGCTGCGCCGTCGTGGGAGCGGCGGGCACCTCGATCTGGGCGGTGTTGGTGGCGTAGTACGAGAGGGGGTCGTCCTCTCCGGCGGCGCCGTCCACCGGGGCCTTCAGCATCGCCTGCAGCTCCTTGTTGTGCCGCGCCAGCTGCCGGGACGCAAGGTGGGGTCAGGGCGGCGGCGGTGGGCGCGCTCGACTCGGCCTCAGATGAGTAGCCGGCGCGGTGTGTGGTAAACATCGCCACGAGGGAGACAAAGGCGGCCGGGCGTGGCGCTGCCGGAGTCTACGGATTCCAACGAGGCGTTAAATAAACGTCTAAAAACACTACAATGCCGACGAGCTTAGCACTCGTGGCTTTCACTCGAGGGTCCTGCTGCTTTGCAACGGGCTAACAAACGCCTTTAAATTACGTTATAAAAAATGATTTTATCCGTTACTAAATAACCATCGTTCATGATATATTCCCTGCCGGATGAAGGCCTCAGGCCGTTGCTCTCTCTCACCGTCCTGCGATATAACAATCCGCCTGGCACCCGGCACACAAGCCGATTCCATCCCTCCATCTCCACGGCAGTCGTTCCCTTGTGCAGCGCCCCCCCCGCCCACCTCCCTCCCTCCCTCGCCACCTCTTCCTCCTCCTCCCCACATCGTCGAACCGAAACAATGTGGTGGGTGGTGCTGGGCTCCAAGCGGGGGCCTCCGCGCTCACCTGGTGAGCCAGGATGTAGATGTTGTGGCCGACCTCCTTGGGGGACACCGTGTCTTCCTGGCCCGGGTAGATCTCCTCCTCCTGGTTGAACGCATTGCGGATCACGTCCACCTGCGGCCGGGGCGGGCAAGGGAGCGGAAGGGATGACGGTGCCGCGCCCCCATCGCTCAAGTGAAGCGTCACCCTTGACGCCGACACCAAATGTAAGTGCCGCCCCTATGCTCGTCTCAAGTGCTACCCTCCCCCGCCCCCTTTACAAAAGCCACGTGCCATCCCGACATTGAAATAGAAGTGCCGCCCCACCTTGCCCAACACGTGTGCCGCCCACCAGGAAACCAAAGTGCCGCCCCGTTGCACAACTCAAGGGCTGTCCCCAGCTAACTTTTAGTGCCCCTCCCTAAGAAACCCGAGGACTGCCTTCCTATGAAACGTAGGTGCCGCCACCCCCCCATGAAACCTCATTGCCCCCCACCCCCTGGACGCCCCCCTGCCCCCCCTCGATGCCCTTTAACCCCGGCTCACCAGCTCCTTGCCGCCACCCCCCCATGAAACCTCATTGCCCCCTACCCCCTGGACGCCCCCCTGCCCCCCCCCGATGCCCTTTAACCCCGGCTCACCAGCTCCTTGGGCCGCATGTTGTAGAGGATGCGCTCAGCATTCTCGCTGTCCCGTCTGCTCTCCATGATGGCGAGCAGCAGCTTGGACGCATTGTTCTGCACACACACGTGATTGCGCCAGACGTTCATGTCAGCCTCGTCACCGCCACCACCACCACCACCACAATAATTATAATAGGGGCACCACAGTGGCGAGATGTTAACTCCCTCGCCTGGTAAACAGGAGGACGTGGGTTCGATCCCGACCCTGACCCGGACCCTGACACCTGAATATTTGGAGTTTGCGTGTCTCTCTCCACACGGTCACGTTTAGACGATTTGGCTGCCATAACTTTCCACATGATGAGAAGCCACTTCTTCTTCGAGCTTTGGCCAGGTCACTTCTGAATAAGAGCTCCATAGCTCGGTGGGCCTTACCTATTAAAAAATATAGTTTTACAGTTTCAATAGTTTTAATATTTACACCGCACTCCTCCCACGCGGTGCACCTCCACACGCCCTGGGGCGGGAGCGGCCGTCTCGCTCCGGGGGACTCACGGCGGCAACTGCCCCCGGCCCGCAAGTCGACGCCCGCCTGCCCGGCGACGGTGGGCAGTCAACGGCAGAACGGGACAAACGACGACGTGACGAGCACTCGCGTGTGCCGCAGTGCGATGCCCGGGAGAGAGAGCGTCGCTCTTATCCCGACCGTGTAAGCATCACGCCAATTGGTCATCCTAAACGCGGCTGAATCGCAAGCGGTGGCTGGAGCCCAAACTCAAACCCAGGATCTCAGGGGGTGCCTGAGATCCTGGGTTTTCATGACGGTTAAAAAGGGACACAGCGTGAGCTCCGTTCCTTCTGTCGACAACACGGGGGACAACACGACAAGGCTCGAGTAAAGGAATATACGTATGTATATTTATATAATTCAGCTTGAGTTTGCGTGCAGATTTGTCGCTGAACGAGCCACAACCACCAAGCTGCAATGCTTGGCAACTCCATTTTTTATTGTGGGCGACCGAAAGCCGAAACCTTTGGAGCAAGCGACATTTGGCGAGCGACGACTAGGGCCAGCGGAGCAACATGAGCGGGAGGTCACGGAGGTCGGGCCGGACGGCACGACGCACGCCCGGCCACCTTCGTCTCCCCGTCCCACCCGCGGCCGACGAGTGTCCCCAGAATGTAGCGAATCTTGCGCTGTGGAGGCCTCCCCTGACCTTGAGCTCCAGCACCAGGTCCATCTGCTTGGTGCCCAGTGGGTTGATGTCGTTCAGGATGAGCGCCGTGATGATGTCGATTCCGTTGGACTCGTGCGTGGCGATGGCGTTCTGCGCACGGAAGGAATAAAAAAATAAAGTAAAAGTCACGCAAACGCACGGGAGGACACGCGGGTTAACGCTGTCCAACGCGCCCTTGTCCTCAGATGTATTCGAATCAGAATCTGAATATTTAGACTGCAGCAGGAGGAATCCGATGAGCTCTCAAGCTCTTTTTCACAGCTGTCCAGTAGGGGGCGGGTCAACAAGTTGCAACAACAAACAACACACAAACAACAACAAATAAAATAAAATATTTTGCGGTACGCAAGCTGACAGGGGTAGCTGTCAAGGAAAAAATGTCTTTGCATGATTACAAAGTATTTTTTTTTGCTTTGGTTTGTGTCCTCAAATATTTGGCATCCCCCACTTTGATCAATGTTGCTGGTTTTCTCCAGTCCCGAATGGCAACGCTAAAGTTGCGCTTGTTTTGGATCATCTGCATGAGAGTTTTTTTTTGTATCAGTGCTTGCTGTTGTGTTGGTAGTGATGCGCTTAAGTAGCGTCACCAGATAATTTGTTCAATTTAGGAAACTAAGGTTGACTGGGAAGGTGTGGCTCAGACAGGATAGGTTACTGAGGGCATGGGAAGATCGTCGGGAAGGGGGGGGTGGAGTGAGTGAAGGATGAGTCGGGGCAGTTTCACAGACTATAAAATCACCACCATCGTCACAACGTCACACTCGGGTGTAGCAGGAGCGATGGTGGACTGTTGCATCGCGTGTAACCGTGAAAAACGGCGACGGCTCACGCAAGCCTCCATCCAGCAGTGGGTAGAGCACAGCCCACGACGGTATCGCATCGCGGCGCGGGGCCCACCTGGTTGTCGTGGCAGGGCCCCTGGCAGTACTCGGTGAGGCTCTGCAGCGTCTGGTTGATGAGGCCTACGTTGCGCTCGTTGATGTAGAGGCCCAGCAGGCCCAGGCCGCCCGTGGTGCTGCCGCAGATGCAGTCGAGGAACTGCAGCGTCTCGCACACCAGGTTGTAGTTGGTCTTGTTGCTCTGGTGCCGCAAGAAGTTCTGCGGGGGCGACAGCACCGCCGCCACACAGGACGCGAGAATAACAACGATTATCGCTCTCTCACCGTTTGACGCGTTCGGTGTTCGCGCTGCCGTTCTTGGAGCGCAAGGCTTACCGCGGAGAAAGGCGCTCCCCTGGTGTGTCGCAGACACGGGCCGCAGTAGTTTCACAGTAGGGAGGGCGATGTTTCTGCAATGTGTGTGTCCGTAATCCCAATTGGCTCATTTTGCCGCCAGCAGCACGCAAGGGCCGACTCTTGCAACTGACATCGTGGAATCTGTTAATCGTTCGCCGTGAAGCGGGCGGTGAGTAGTATGTTACAGTTAACGCAACCGCGGCGATATTCGAACCGCGAACCTCTGCTGACGGGCCGTGTCACTGCCCCAAACGATACGCGCGCGAGTTGGTTCATCCACTGCACTGGCTACCTGTGCAGAATGGAGGCACAGGCCGTAGAATTCGTGTTCGCGGCCACGTGAGTCGCGGACCGTCGACGAGTGAGGAGCAGCAGGTAATTGACCGATGAGCTCGTAATCATTCAGTCACCGGTAAGCCGGAGCTACCACCGGCTCCCCTACGCGAGAGAACTTCGGTTTAAATGATAGCACAGGTCGTCGAACCCTGGGTCGACCGCAGGACCTCAGGCCGCGCCGGGCCCGGCGTCTGCGTTCTCCCGAGCCACGGGGCCGCCACGCCTCCCGTCCGCCCGTCACCTGCAGCTCGTGGTTGTGATTCTCGCACAGCAGCTGCAGCAGGCGCAGGATGGGCTGCATGATGGCGATGGCCGCACTCATCTCCGCCTCTCCTCCCACTCCGCCGCCTCCGCCGCCGCCGCCCCCTCCGTCGCTGCCGCCGCCGCCGCCCCCGCCCCCTCCCTCGCCCGGCCCGGCGTCGGTGCTGCTGTTGGTGCTGCCGCCGATCCCGGTGGCGGCGGCGGCGGCCGCCTCCTCCGCGTCGGCACGGCGCACGGCTTGAAAGGCGCCGCGCGTGGCCACGGCCGCCTCTTCCAGCTGATTGCGGGCACGGTCGGACATCTGGGACTTGTGCTGCCCCCGCACTGGTGGGGCGGAGAGAGAGAGAGAGAGAGCGGGACGGAGAGACGTCGTGTGAACCGGCAGCCTCGGCTCAAAGTCACCGCAGGGACTGGTGTCGGCAAGAGCGACTGGGAGGCACGGTGGATCACCGATCTCAGTTGTTGGCTACGCAACTAAATCATTTGGTGTGCGTTAAATGACACGACCGCGAATGTGCTCGGTCAATGGTGAACGTTCCGGATCACAGCGACGCGAGGAAGCCAAGCAGCATTGAGAACCCAGTCCTTGGGCACAGAATGATCAATTGGTCATCTCGGCCTCTGGGCGAAATTTATTGCGAATCCCATGAGACTGTGGGTGCCAGACAGGGCGGGGGAAGGAGGGGGGTGGGGGGGAGCGAGGTGGTGGGAGGAACCGGTGTACGGGTGTAGGCCGTCCTCACCTCGAGCCCTGCTGCGAGCGGGCATGATCTGGGTCCCATTGCCACCACCAATGCTACTGCCGCCACCGCCGCCACCGCCTTCCTCGTCGGTCCTCTGGCCCAGCTCTGACGTGTTCATGGTGACGAGCACCTTGATCTCCAGCTGCGCGGCGCGCATGTGCTCGTGGAAGCGCTGGAAGAATTTCTCCGAGCGGTTCTGCTGCGTCAGCAGGCAGTAGAAGGAGTGCTGCTCGCCAGCACGGAGGCACGGAGGGGGAGAGCGGAAGGAGTTTGGAAACGATCGAATGGAACGTTAAATCGGTGACGGGACCGCAGTCGCCACTGTCGCGTAGCCTCGGCCGAGTGCAACTCCCGCAGCAACGTGTCCATTGAGGAAGGGAAGGAATGATTCGGATCGTTCGATATAAACTGCCCCGCTTGAAGTCGTACGGTAGCTGAATAATTGTTACCCTTTCCAAATACGAAATTCGATTTCTCCAACTCGTGTCGTGTGCTGCAATTTAAGCATTGTTTTTTGCGGTCACGCAGGACTGTCTGTGATTGGATGGAATCCTGATGATGACGACAACGACGATGATGATGAAAAAGACTATGATGACTGACGATGACAATGACGTTTGCTGATGACAAAGACAGTAAAACCAATGACGACGACGATTTCTGCCGATGACAACGATCACCGTCGTGCCCCTCACCTGCAGCACGGTGTTGCCACCCTCGAGCAGCGCGATGCCCAGCACGATGCTCTCCTGGAAGATGCGCTGGCTCTTGGTGCTCATGATGAGGTCGATGACGAGGTCGGAGGCGCCCTGCTTGTCCAGGTGAACCTGCACCTTGGCCAAGGTCTTGTGGGCCCTCACCTGTGGCACCGTGGGGCCTGCACACGGGGGGATCGGCGTGATGCCCCCTCCCGCTTCACCCTCCCACACACACGTCCCGCTCCTCCACGACCGCCACATCCACCTCCTGCTCATGCTCCGCCCACCCCCCCTCCTCCTGCATCACTAACATGTGTATGTTGAACTTCTTTCGCACCGTACGTAGCCAACCTTGCTAATCGGAGGTGCGGGGGGAAGGACAAAAAAAACAAACACAAAAAGCAGCTCCACCAGCGTTCCCGCACCTCCGATCAGCACAGTGTGCTACGTACGGTGCAATAGAAGTTCAACATTTGCACATACGTGCACATCACCCAAGCACCGTTCAGCTCAGCGTTTCATTTCGACAGCGTGCACGTTGTCACCGTGAGTCGCGCTGTGGGGCACGCCGCTGCTCGTGACGCCGTGCGGTTCGAGCCGGCCACGGCTAACGTCGGCGGCCGGTGAAATCTGAAACGGATCCCGCGCGCCCCACTGACCAACGCGCAATGACCAGCGTGGGGAACGCATGGTCAGACTACCCCCCCACGACTGAAAATCATGGGCGAGCCTTCACATGTTTCAATGAATGAAAGTCACATTACTATCATCAGTAATAATTTTATTACGATTACAATTATTAGGGGGCAGCAGAGGGCAACCCACCAGCTTGACTGCCCGTCTTCTCCCCGTAGTAGCAAGCGAGCAGTCCCTCTCTCAGCTCCTCTCCCTGCTCACGCACAGTCAGTCGCAAACAAACGGCGCCATCACCACGGGCGCGCAGGCGCCGGCTTTGGGCGACGCCGGCATTTGCCGAGGGGCGGTGGCGGATCGTCAGGGGACGGCAAGGGGGACGGGGCGGAAGCGATGAGTTTACGCGGCCGTGCGTCTCGCGGCGCCACGGGGAGTCCCGCTGGCGAACTCGGCACTCACCCGTTTCTGGTCCTCCTGGTGCTTGCGGCTCAAGCTGCAGTAAGCCTCCTGATGGTCCACAAACAGACGGGAGGATTAAACGCGGCAAAAGGTGAGGATCGCCGTAGAGCCTTAGCCACGCCCCCTGACCCCCTGACCCCCTGACCCCCACCCCCGCCACGCCACGCGGCCCGCTGGCACGGAGGACGCCGGCTCACCTGGGCAGCGGCGGCGCAGGCGTCGGCGCCTCCGCTAGGCATCATGTCCTGCAGCGTGTGCAAGATCTTGATGCACAGGTCTTCGTTCTCGCGGTGCAGCTGCTTCGTGTGTCTAATGAGCCTGGAAGGGAGGGGAGGGAGGGATGTTGATGACACCGATAATGAGGAGGAAGATTAAGATGATGACAACTGTGATGCTGATAATAATGACGACGCTTGTGATGATGATGATGATGACACTGAAAACGATGCTGGCAAGGATGACACTGATGATTATGACGTCGCCGAAGACTGTGTTGTCGACTCTCCTGGTGATAAACGACGACGATGACGATGAAGACGATGACGATGATGACGACGACACAGCTGACGACCGCCCCGTACTTGCAGATGAAGCCGCCGTTGCCGATTCGCTGGAAAGCTTCGGAGCCCTCGGGGAAGAGCAGCTCCGGCTGGTGCAGCACGTCCACCAGCACCGACGTCTCCGCCTGGATCAGCGAGCGCATGCGGCTCTGCAGCGACTGCACGATGTCCTGCTCACGGCGACGGCGAAAAGGGAGCAGGGGTGACGGGGGAGGTGGCGGTGGGGGGGCGTTGGCGAGGGACGAATGTGCTAATCGGCGGTGCGCGAGCGCGTGTGAGTGTACGAGGATTCCTTGATTTAAAAAGTATTCTCTTTTGTAATTCGTTTACGTGTGTGTCGACTAACTGGCAATCACAACAAAAACACAGGTCCCATAAACATGAAGCAGATCGGTCCGCACGACAGCCACCATTCAGCACGGGGCGCTCACACCAGGCCAGGTGCGCTTTGAGGCTGTCATGCCAAGTGCCGAAGGCTCGCCGACAGGAGGTCACGGGACAGGCCCGGCAGGTGCCACCGGTTCACGGTAGACCCCACAGACACACGCGGACACGCGGAGCGCACGGACGACTCGCCAACCGGTGCTCCCGCGCCCGTCCGCACCTGCAAGCGCTCGATGACCTGCCGGTAGTCCCGGTTGGAGGTGGAGAGCAGAGACTCCTTGCGGGTGCCCGTCCGCGCACTGTTGCGCCAGCTCATGGCCGTCTTGTGCACCAACGCCTGTGGGTTGGGATGCACCACCTGGGCGATCTGCGCCTCCAGGTCCACGGGGATGGCGATGGAGCGATTCTTGGCTGCGGCGACGACGGCGATGTTGGCGCGACGTTTGCACGCGGCACATGCGACCCCGGTAAAAACACGGTAAGAAAAAAAGGTACGGGGCTTCAACAGAGGGAATCGTAACTTGAGCCCAATTTGTCCGGTTCGCAAAAAAAACCTGGGCCGGCAAGCGTGGCGATGGCGCCGTGGATCGTGACGGAGCTCATAAACTATAAAAAAAAACTGTTAAACTATTTTTATTTTACCAGGTAAGGCCCCCACTGAGCTATAGTTTTTTTTTTCAAAAGTGACCTGGCCACAAATGGATATCTCAATAAAGTGGCTTCCCACGTGGATTTTTTTACAGCAGCCAAAAACTCTGAACGCACATCTATTCTAAATGTAGAGGGGAAAACCCGAATAAAAATCCACGTGACCACGGGCAGAGAGAACAACGCCAAATAATCAACAGGCGTCAGGGTTGGGATCTAACTCATGACCTCCTGTATACCAGGCGAGGTAGTTAACATCTCGCCGACGTGGGCACCCCGTTCACTGAACCGGCACGAGCCGCGAGTGACATCACAATGACCCGCGGCAGCATCTCGCCATCGCCAGCCCGTCTGTCACCACCCGCTCGGAGGGGCAGCACTTGGGCGCTTCGTAGGAGGGGCGGTACTTAAGTTGAGCAAGTGGGGGGCAATGAGGTTTCATGGGGGGGTGGCGGCACCTACGTTTCATAGAAAGGCAGTCCTCGGGTTTCTTAGGGAGGGGCACTAAAAGTTAACAGGGGACAGCCCTTGGGTTGCGCAACGGGGCGGCACTTTGGTTTCGTAGTGGGCGGCACACGTGTTGGGCAAGCGGGGCAAATACTCAGGTTGGGCAAGGGGGGGATGCGGCACTGTCCTTAAATGTCGGGTGGCACAGCAGCGGCCCCCGTCACGTGCTCGTGTGTGGGGGGGGAGGGGGGAGGGGGTTCCGTACCGACGACGGAGAGCGTTCGGATGCAGGTCTCCACGGCGGGCTTCTGCTGCGACGTCAGCCAGGGGCAGCTGAACACGCGGAACGACTTCTGCAGCAGCTGCACGAACATGGGCTGCCGCGTCTGCATCGTGCACGTTGGTAGGGGGGGGGGGTGAGAGGGATGGAGGTTAAGGTGGTAGTGACGGTGGTGCTGACCCTAAATCCCCAATTAAACGGAGGCTCCCTCACTGGACTGGTGCGCCAGCTTGTTTGTACTTTACACAATCGTGGCAGTGGTGGCGGTAGGCAGAGATAGCGTTAGGGTCAGGTTGGCTAGATAGGATAGAGGTAGTGTTCAGTGAGGGAAAATGTTGGCTTATTAATGGTTAGAAGTAGGGCTGGTGTTGGGTCTGGTCAGGTAGTGAGGGTAGAGGGAGGGTTAGTGTGAGGGTCTGGATGGCGAGCGAGGTTAGGACCCAACTGGAAGAATCCGATGAGCTACGAAGCCCTTGTTCACCGTTGTGCAGCCGGGACGGCTCAGCGAGTTACATGGGGAGGAGATCGCTTTGCCCGTGGCACAAAAACCGGACGTGTACGGTGCCACCTCAATCTGAAAAAAGAGCTTTATAGCTCATCGGATTCCTCCAGCGTAAATAAAGATTCTGTTTACATCGGACCGCCGTTGGTGTCCGCGGCCGCGGTGCGACGGCTCCCACGCTTCACCGGAACGTCGCCCCCCCCCCCAGCCCCCCTCCCCCGCCCCCCCCCCCCCCACCCACCTGTATTCTCGTCGCCTGCACGGAGAAGGGCGAGCTGAAGAAGGCGGTGACGATGTTCATGATGACGTCGATGACGTACTTCTCCAGGGCCGTGTTGGCGTGCCGCCTGTCCGGCACCATGTTGCACACCTGGAAAATCCGCACGCGCAAAATGTCACGACGACAACGATCTTTTTGTTCACCAGGGGAGACGCACTGAGCTGTGTAGCTCTTTGGCGGGAGCAACCTGGCCACAAATGACAGCTCACCCAAGTGGATTATCATCACGTGGAAATGTATAACGACTAAATACTCTCAACACGCGATGTTGTTGATTCTAAACGTGGAGAGAAAAATCGGAGGACCCAGAGAAAAATCCGTGCCACCACCGCCGCCGCCGGGCTCACTATCAGCTTCTACTTTAAGGGGGGAGCGGTGGCGCCGCGGTTGGCGCACCGCGCCGCGAATTCAGCAACCTCGCTTCGATTATAACCAGCCACGGCAAAACACCGGTGATGAGTTATACCTGGAGAATCGGTCCTGGGTGATGGAAGGCGGTGGGCGCTAAGCGTGGTGAAGTATGGTCAAACAGCTCTCGTGACCAACACGATACGGGGAGGGGCCTTTATCGGGCAAAGGACTGGCAGAGGGCCGTATGTTTTCTTGTTATTGGAGTGGGCGACCTTTTCTTTACCGAGGGCCAAATAGGACTTTCGGTACCATTGGTGGGCGATGACACGTTCGCAGACACAGCTCACTTCTGCCACTGCAAGCCGGCCTTACAGTGACACGAATGGTTGAGCGTGGCGCTAGATTTAGTCAGTTTGACACGTAGGCTGTCGCGACCAATATTATCCATAAGAGGTTTTTGGAGTTAGATCGCGAAAATATAAATGTTGTGCCATTAAACCCACCACCACCCGACACGCAGCCAATTAGTACAGCACACCGGTGGTTGGAGAGTAAACCCACAAACATTTACACTTTACTCTGCAACATACTCGTGTGCTGAACTCGTAGTAACGAATTGGCATGTTTTGTTTAAACAAAAACCTTACCAATTGGCTGTGTTGGACGGTGGCAGGTTTAACGACACATTCACATTAACACGATCTAACACAAAGACCTCTCTAATGGCTATAAATGAGTGCTGTCGCTGCCAGGTCGACAATATATTCTCCCCCTCCGGTACCGCCTAATACGCTTGCAACGGTGGAAAATTGTAGTTTGCCGGCCGTCGCAAAGTGTTAGGTAGGCCTCGTGTGGCCGCGTGAGATTAAGTTGCGGGGCGTGGCTTCCCCTGCCCCCCGCAATGCCCCCGTCCCAGCTCCCCAGCCACTGCCGTTACCGAGACGCCCGCCGCATTGCCTGCGACAGTTTCCGGCGAAGAACGTCCGACTATCGCGGTGCGTAGGGGATGCGAAACGACGGGCGACTTGCACCTTGTCCATGTCGCCGAGGAAGTTCTCGAACACGGTCCACATGTGATTGCTGCTGTAGATCTCCTTCATCTCCACCTCCGTGTCCACGTAGCAGTGGTTCAGGAAGTTCACGTACGCGATCTTGACCTACGCGGTGCGCAACGCACAGCAACGAAAGCTTGAATTTTGAAAATAGTAATTATAAACGACTCGGGACAAAGCGACGCAGCTCAAAGCTGCGGGCGTAACTCGCCGACCGAAACCGCCGGTGGAACGCGACGAGTCGTTTCATTGGCAACGGCGCGTCACGAGAGCAGCGAGCCACGGCTAGTTTTAGTCTTGCGAGCGCGCAAGGACAGGACATACGCGGCTCGGTGCCGCGGGCCTCACGACCGCGAGACGGCAGACGTGGCAGCGTCCTTGCACAACCGCACATCAGAAGAGCATGCAAGCTGTTATCTTCTAGGCTAACAATTAGCCAACACTGTTTTTTTTATCAACGTTATCTTCTATTTTTAGCTGCTGCCTACAGCACTTTGTGACCTCTGGGAACACACCTCCCTGATTTTTCCGCTCGCTGCCAGATGCAGAAACGATGGCCCTTGTACAACTGCAGATCAGAATTACAGTGTGTTTGCCGTATCTCACGTTTAGAATCGAAAGGAGTAAATTTTGACTTACGAACAAATCGACTTACGAACAGACCTCTGGAACCTAACTGGTTCGTTAGTTCGGGAGTCCCTCTATATATCTTTATAAAAAAAGTTATATTCTTTCGAGGCAGGTTCAAAGTGGCGAGCGGCGGCGATGGCGACGCACCTCTGTGACGCACGCCTCGTGCGTGACCACGTGGACGATGTCCTCCAGTGGCAGCAGCGAGTTGCACTTGATCTCCGTGTAGACGTTCTTGCCCTCGGTGCAGGCGGCCAGCAGCTCGACGAGCGCGATGTGGTAGATGAGGCCGTCGTGGTCCTCCACGTGGTCGCCCGCCAGGCGCATGGCCTGCACCAGCGTGCCGAACGACGCCCGGTCGTTGTAGAACACCAGCACTTCGTCGCCGGCGTTGACCAGCTGCGCGCCGGGGTGGAGGGTGGGAGAGAACATCGCCGTCGTCCTTGTTGTCGTGGTGAACACTTCGCCGGCCGGGCGGTGGTGGCGCAGCACGCCTGTGATGCAGGTGAGTGGCTGTACCCTGGGTCCTGGGGATCCCTCTCCGGGTCCCCCAGTTTTTGCTCCCCCCCCCTCCACATTTAGAATAAAAACACGCATTCAGACTATTTGGCCACTGCTATGAATTCCCACGTAGGATGATGATGATGATATCAGCCACTTCCATCATGAGCTATCAACACGTGTGGCCAGGTCGCCTCTGAACAAGAGCTAGCGGCCTTAGCCCGCTAAGTAAAACAAGTTAACGGTTTCCACAGAACGTTTGTTTATTGGACGTGACGTACCACTGCTCAGAAATAAAACGCAAACGTGTACATATTTAACACGTAGGTTTTCGCGAATTGCCCGATGATGCTGTCGTACTCAAAATTTGTAAATGTTGTGGTTTCACGCTTCAACACACCGGTGAACTATTTGTCTTTTGTCAAAGTGACACTTTTTTGCTGATTGGCCGTGTCGGGTGGTGGAGGGTTACGACACATTTATAAATAACGTGATCTAACCCAAAAACGTGTACATATTTTTTAGATCGCGGTATTGTCGTGGCGGCGGCGGTGGCGGCGATCATCCCACCTCGGCCATGACCATGTCCTGGCTCTTCTTGATGTGCTTGCCCTCGGCGCGCACGATGGTCTGCAGGAAGCGCAGGTACTGCACGTGGCGGCCGTGCGTCTCGATGCAGTGGATGAAGTGCTGCACCACGCGTTCCGTCACCTCGTTGCACAGCTGGATGTTGTCCATGAAGATGTGGCGCATCGTCTCCGCCTCCAGCAGCTGTGGCGACGCGCGCAGGGAGACAGTGACAGGGGTTGGGGGGGGGGGCGTGAGTGAGCGAGTGCGTGGGTGGAGCGGTCGACTCAGCCTCAAATGAGTACCTGGTGCAGTGTTCAAACATAGCCACGAAGGGAGACAAAGGCGGCCGGGCGTGGTGCGTGTTGCTGGCCATCCTACTCTCATCGCGCCGTGCCGGCCGTCATAGGTGCTACTCACCAAAAGCACTTGCCCCAAAAGTGTGTTGAGGCTATACGGGGGACATGTGCCTTTGTGATGTGTGTATCTACATATGTATGTATGTATGCATGCATCTGTCGAACCCCAGGAGTGAGGAAGAGGCTCATGTCCTTGTAGAGCAGACTCTGGTTCTGCTGGTTCCCGGCACAGAAGTTCTGCAGGAAGCGGTGCGCCAGCTTCATCAGCTCCTGCATCTTGCCGTCCTCGTTCTGAGACCACGCAACGCAAGGCAGGGAAGCGGCGAGGGTGCGGAGGGAATTAGAAGCGGGGGGGAGCGGGGGGTGGTGGGGGGGGCGGTTAGGGGGAGAACAGACGTTGGGAGGGGGGACCGATGTTTCCGGGCGGCACCTTCTCGTAGGGGATCTTGAGCAGGTCGAGCACCACCGAGTGGGCCCCCATGTTGCGCAGCAGCCGCTGCTGCTGCTTGCGGTTGCGCCGCACCGAGCCCTTCTCCTGCAAGCACAGCAGGCTGAGCCGCACCAGGATCTGCCGTTGGAGAAACACGCACGGCGGGGTGAGGTGGGGGGCGGGCGGTGGAGATATAAGGGGACGAGGGGACGCGTGGAGACTTCCACGGACGCGCGGGGAGACACGCAGCTGGGTTACGTGAGGACATTCGTCGAGAAAAAAGATCTCTCCCCGCATAGCCGTAACAGACTTTTGGGGCAAGTGTGGTCAGCAGAGAGGGTTAAGTAAAGGATCGAGGGGGGGTGGGGGGCGCGGTACGACCGGCGGAGAGAGGGCGGCACGCTCACCGTCTTGATGGCCTCGTAATTGTCGGTGCCGGGCGTCAGCGCCGCTCCTCCCTCCACATCCTCCGTGACGCTGCTCGCTCCGCACTGCCACGCCGCACACGAGCAGCGTCAGCAGCAGCAGCATCAGCAGCAGCATCAGCAGCAGCATCAGCAGCAGGAGCAGCAGCAGCAGCAGCATCAGCAGCAGCATCAGCAGCAGCATCAGCAGCAGCATCAGCAGCATCAGCATCAGCAGCAGCATCAGCAGCAGCATCAGCAGGAGCGTCAGCAGCATCAGCAGCAGCAGCAGCAGCAGCGTCAGCAGCAGCAGCAACGGCAGCACAAGCAGCAGTATAAGCAGCAGTAGCAGCAATGGATGCAGCAGCAGCAGCAGCTAAAACAGCAGGAGCAGTGGTCACACAAAGCAGTAGTAGCAGCAAAGTCAAGAAAGAGAAACAGCGACAGCATTGAGGAACAGCAGCATGTCCTTCAAAATAACATTCAAATTAAATGGCCTTTTTTAAGAATTTCAATGTCTAGATATCCTTGACAGCAAGGATTGCCTTCAGAGCGCATACCTTTAATGGTTGACGTCTTGGGCTCTAGAAAATAAAAGAAACAGTGCAGTAGTTATAATGATGAAAACGATAATGCCGATAATGACGATAATGCCGATGAAGGTGATGTACAGCCCTTTGCGGTGTCAGTGATGGGGGTACTTTGACGATACTTCACCACAATGGCCAATTCTGAGGTCACCTCATGCACACCATGGTGACGCATCTTCCATATGCTCTGTCATGTGTGTTGTGTAATGTGTGTTGTGTAATGTGTGTTGTGTAATGTGTGTTGTGTGTTGTTTGTGTAATGAGTGTTGTTTGTGTAATGTGTGTTGTGTAATGTGTGTTGTTTGTGTAATGAGTGTTGTTTATGTAATGTGTGTTGTTTGTGTAATGTGTGCTGTGTAATGTGTGTTGTGTAATGTGTGTTGTTTGTGTAATGAGTGTTGTTTATGTAATGTGTGTTATTTGTGTAATGTGTGCTGTGTAATGTGTGTTGTGTAATGTGTGTTGAGTGTTGTTTGTGTAATGTGTGTTGTGTAATGTGTGTTGTGTAATGTGTGATGTGTGCTGTTTGTGTGTTGTTTGTGTAATGTGTGTTGTGTAATGTGTGATGTGTGCTGTTTGTGTGTTGTTTGTGTAATGTGTGTTGTGTAATGTGTGATGTGTGCTGTTTGTGTGTTGTTTGTGTAATGTGTGTTGTGTAATGTGTGATGTGTGCTGTTTGTGTAATGTGTGTTGAGTGTTGTTTGTGTAATGTGTGTTGTGTAATGTGTGATGTGTGCTGTTTGTGTGTTGTTTGTGTAATGTGTGTTGTGTAATGTGTGATGTGTGCTGTTTGTGTGTTGTTTGTGTGTTGTTTGTGTAATGTGTGTTGTGTAATGTGTGATGTGTGCTGTTTGTGTGTTGTTTGTGTAATGTGTGTTGTGTAATGTGTGATGTGTGTTGTGTAATGTGTGATGTGTGCTGTTTGTGTGTTGTTTGTGTAATGTGTGTTGTGTAATGTGTGATGTGTGTTGTGTAATGTGTGATGTGTGCTGTTTGTGTGTTGTTTGTGTAATGTGTGTTGTGTAATGTGTGATGTGTGCTGTTTGTGTGTTGTTTGTGTGTTGTTTGTGTAATGTGTGATGTGTGCTGTTTGTGTGTTGTTTGTGTAATGTGTGTTGTGTAATGTGTGATGTGTGTTGTGTAATGTGTGATGTGTGCTGTTTGTGTGTTGTTTGTGTAATGTGTGTTGTGTAATGTGTGATGTGTGTTGTGTAATGTGTGATGTGTAATGTGTGATGTGTGCTGTTTGTGTGTTGTTTGTGTAATGTGTGTTGTGTAATGTGTGATGTGTGCTGTTTGTGTGTTGTTTGTGTAATGTGTGTTGTGTAATGTGTGATGTGTGTTGTGTAATGTGTGATGTGTGCTGTTTGTGTGTTGTTTGTGTAATGTGTGTTGTGTAATGTGTGATGTGTGTTGTGTAATGTGTGATGTGTGCTGTTTGTGTAATGTGTGTTGTGTAATGTGTGATGTGTGCTGTTTGTGTGTTGTTTGTGTAATGCGTTTGTCGGCGCATTGTTCATTCTGAGAGCTGGGACCGAGCCAAATTAAGTGGAAAAACCGATTGGTGACCGGACTGACACCACCAACTCTCTGTGCTTGAGAACTCAGTGCAATTACAACTCAGTTAATGCGAGTCTATGGGCCTCTATGCCAGTGTGGGTTTTTCTATGCGAGTCTGTTGGTTTCTATGCAGGTATATATCGGTATCTATGTGGGTCTATGGGTCTGTATGTGAGTCTACGGTGACGGGGCAGAAACCATCAATCAACTCGCTGCTCTCCGGGCTGAATCACAGGCGGCCGACGCCTGCGATTCTAACCCCGACTCTCGGCGTCTCCGGCACGAGCCCCCCTCCGCCCCCCGCCCCCCCTCAAAATGGCAACCTTCTTGATGGTGTCCTTGGAGTCCTCTTTGTGATCCTCGCTGCTGCGCATCTCCGACAGCTTGGCGTGCTGGCGGCCCTTGTAGACCCACAGCTCCGACTTCTCCACCATGAGACGCAGCTGGTCCAGGTCGGTCTTGATCTGCTTGTAGCTCTCCACTTCCTGCGTCGTCACCAGCAGCTGCACCTGCGCACGCGCCAGCGGGGACCCCCGTTGACATTCACTACTGCCCGCACGCGCACACGGGCACCAACGCACGCACACAGTGTCCACACCTCGGAGGCGCCGAGTGCGATGTCGACACCGATCCAGCGATTGGATTTGTGCATCCAAGATCCCCCCTGTAGCAAGTGCTGTTAGCGAGCACCTGTGAACGCCGTCACGGCGCACACGCGCGTGCACACTCGCGCGCACGTACCTGCTTGAAGGCCTCCAGAACTTCGTGGCGCTGGCTGAAGTGCTTGAAGAGGAGCTGCAGGGCTCCGGACACCAGTGGGGGGTAGTCGTGCATCGTGAGGTTGAGCAGCGCGCGCAGGAACAGCTTCCCCCCGTGGCCGTCCAGGTCGAGCAGCGCGTTCTCATCGCTGCTCTCGCCGGCGAGCGAGCCAGCCATGGAGCCAGCGATGGAGCCAGCGATGGAGCCAGCGATCAAGCGCACACACACAGACAGAGATCGCCCGCTTCGTGTTCATACACAGTCGGGGGGTATGCTGCCAGTGGTATAATAACAATGATTAACATTTCATTTATTTGGTATTTGCGCCATTCTTGTAGTCTGTGCGGGAGTTTTACGGTTCGGGGGCGGTGTTGCCGTCTTTGTACAATCCCAGTTGAGTTATCCGCGGTGTAATTTTTCAAATTTGAAACAATTTGGACCATGACGCCGGCACACAACAGCCTACTCCTTTAGAATGACGTCAGGGGATCTTTCACGTTGACTGCGGAGCAGGCAGTGCGTAGTATCTATAGTTAATACACCGGCAGTAATGACCAGGGCAGCCTGCTGGAATCGAGCCGTGAATCTCTGCAGCGAGCGGAGCTACTGTTGGGCCGCAGCACTGCCTCCCAATGCAGACAGCGAAATGGTTATCACGCGGCACCAAACACAATTCACGCTGTCAGATTATTGTAATGAGATGATGGCCGAGAGAACATCACAGCATGCCAGGGAAGCTGCCTGCCAGGAGTTGACACCCAGACTCACCTCACACCTGAGTTTCGCACATAATAGTGAATTACCGATTCATTTGTACGGCGACTCATCAGTTCATTCGTTCACGAGCGGCGCGCTTTACCTTCCGTGAAATATTGCTTCTGCCTGTTCTCCAATCCTCTTGAGGTCAAGACCTGAAAATGGTGAAAATGAAAACGGCGTCAAGTTTCAAGTCCAGGGTTCCCGTTGTTGTCGAGCCACGGGAGAACTCACAGAGAGCCAGGGGGGTGGAGGAGTCTCATCCGCAAGAGGGACCTGGGTCGCCAAAATGACAAAAGCCAAAAAGACGAAAAAAAACGAGCACAGCGCAGCAAGGGAAACGAATATAAATCGGGCAAAAGAAACTGCGTTACAGAAAGAAAAAAACAGTGCAGAAACACGAATCGATATTCCATAAATTAGTTTCCAGGAACAAGTATTTGCGTGGACAAATAACTTTAAAAAAAGAAAATTGCAGTCAAATTAACTTGCAGAAACAGCAACGTAGACTTAGGACTATTATTGGCACTCATTTTGTAAACAGACGAGGGTACGCACATATCCAAAACAACTTACAGCAAAGAACAGTACAAAACGGGACTTTTTTTGCCAGTATCAATGTATGAAAAAATAAGAATAGGCTTTACAATTTCTGGCAATGAAACAGGTGTTAAGATGTTCAAACACCAAATAGAAACCTTTTGCAAGGAATCAAGTCCGCATTAACCGCACGTACTTGTGGTGAACATGCAAACAAACACGCTCTGATAATATATGCATCGTCTTTGAAACGGATTGGCCTACACCAGAGACAGCCTTCTTCAGGGCCTCGTCTCGGCAGTGTCAGACCAGCGAACGCCAACAGGCGAGCACTACAAAGACCACGCCGCCACTATCTTGCTACAGGACGCCACTTTGTTTATCCCGGAAAAGCCTCAACAAGGCCTCGCGGCACCGTTTAGGCCGTTCGAAAGCCGTAGGAGAGACTCACACCGCACCACACCACACCGCACCACACCGCACCAAACTACACCACACCGCACCACACCGCACCACACCGCACCACACCACACCGCACCACACCGCGGCGTCGCGTGAGAGACCGCGGTGCGAGTGCCGTACCGGAGGGCTCGCGGAAGGTCAGCTCGGTCATGCTCTCCTCCACCACGGGGCTGCTGTTCTCCTCGAACTGGTGCTTGAAGATGGAGAGGAGGCACGAGATGCGGTAGTCCAGGCGGACGTTGAGGATGAACTGCAATCATCGTGGGGGGAGGGGGGGGGGGCAAGGTGGTGGCAAAGAAAGACAAAGATCCCCAGGTGGTGCAGGCTTCAACAGGCTGCAGGGCCAAGTGGTGTTGACGAGCACCTATGAAGGCCAGCACTGGCACGAAGGGGTGGGTGGGTGGCCAGCACCACGCCCTGCCGCCTTTGTCTCCCGAGTGACGATGTTTACACATCGTGTCAGGTACTCATTTGAGACCGAGTCGACATAGGGGGGGCCCAAGGTTCAAATAATCATCAATGGTGTTGGCGGCCGTGAGTGGGAATCGAACAAGGCGCGACTGGGCGATCGGTCCCGCGTGTGCTCGTGTGCGTTCGTGCGGACACGCGTGTGCGCGTGTGTGTGTGTGTGCGTGTGTGTGTGTGTGTGCGTGTGTGTGTGTGTGTGTGCGCATGTGTGTGTGTGTTTGCGTGTGTGTGTGTGTGTGTGCGTGTGTGTGTGTGTGCGTGTGTGTGTGTGTGTGCGTGTGTGTGCGCGCTCGTGCAGGCACCTGCAGGATCTCGATGATCTTCAGCTTGGTGTCCATCACGGTGATGTCCTCGTCCTCCCCGTTGCCGTTGCCCACCGGCTTGCGTCGCGCCACGTCCGTGCCGTGGCCGCCCTGCCCCGCCGCGTTCAAGGTGCCGCCCCTCAGCACCATCTGCGTCATCATCTCCCCCACGCCGTGGATCGAGCGCATCACGCGGCTCGCTGGGGCGACAGCGGCGGCAGGAGAGGAGAGAGGGGAAGGGCCGTGAAATTGCCGAGGGATTAGCGACGGCCGCCTACTGGGAGGCTGGCTGCTGCGTAACGTCACCTCGCACGCTTAGCGGACAGCTGCCGCTCGCTGGAGGTGCCCTTTAAAACGCGTCGATGAGATGCGACGTGAAGCGCTTCGTCGCGTGGCGAGGAGCGGGGACGGCAGGAGGGGGAGGAGGAGGAGGGGAGCGGCGTCGCGGGGCCTCACCGCTGGGAACGTCGCCGCCGCCGCCGCCGCCGCCGCCGTGCTTGCCCAGGCGATCGCCGGCGAAGGCCGGGAAGGTCTCCACGCAGTCGAGGAAGGCGAGCAGCGTCTTGGTGAGACGCAGGAGGTTGCTGAACGTGTAGAAGCCGAAGTAGATGAGGTTCCTGGCCAGGTTCACCACCTAGCAGGGACGGAGGAGCGACAACAGACTTTAGAAACCCGTTTTAAATCACAACTGGGTTTGTGAGAGTCATACGGGTCTCTATGCAAGTCTATGAGTCTCTATGTAAGTCTATGGGTCGCTATGCAAGCCTATGGGTCGTTATGCAAGTCTATGGGTCTCTATGTAAGTCTATGGGTCTTGGGGTCTCTATGTGAGTCTATGGGTTACTATGTGAGTCTATGGGTCACTATGTAAGCCTATGGGTCGTTATGCAAGTCTATGGGTCTCTATGCAAGTCTATGGGTCTCGGGGTCTCTATGTGAGTCTATGGGTCTCTATGTAAGTCTATGGGTCTTGGGTTCTCTATGTGAGTCTATGGGTCTCTATGCAAGTCTATGGGTCTCGGGGTCTCTATGTGAGTCTATGGGTCTCTCTGCAAGTCTATGGGTCTCGGGGTCTCTATGCGAGTCTATGGGTCTTGGTGGAAGTTGTTGGTGGCTGGGCTGAGTCCATCACCGCACTACGCTCGACAACCCGGGTTTAATGAGAGGATGGCTGAAACCCAGAATTCAAGCCCATCATGCTCAGCGTTTCTTCTCGAGCCACGAGAGGTTAGGGGCAAGGGGGCGGAGTGGGGGCGGAGTGGGGGCGGAGTGGGGGCGGAGTGGGGGCGGCCTCGCCTCGTAGGTCAACTTGTTCTTGTCGCCGTCGGAGAAGGGGTTGCTCTGGTCGACGACGGTGCGCAGGTAGTCCTCCACGAAGGCGATCGTCTCCTTGAAGCGAGACTGACTCTCCGCAGTCGACGTCCCGTTACACGCGTCGTAGCTGCGCGCGCACACGAGGGTGGGAGTGGGCGCAGGGATGTGTGGATCTGGACCTCCCCGAGGTCGACTCGGCCTCAAATGTGAACGAAATGCGGCGGTGTAAACAGTCGCCACTAGGGAGACGAAGGCGGCCGGGCGTAGTGCTGGCCACTCACCCCCTTGTGTGCCGTGCCGGCCTTCATAGGTGCTACTCGCTAACAGCACTTGCCCCAACAGTCTGCCAAGGCTATACGAAGGACCTTTGTCTTTGTCAGAAACGCAAACATCCCCCAGGCTGGTGGGGCAAGTGCTGTTAGCGAGCGCCGATGAAGGCCGGTGTTAGAATCCGCGGTGTTAGTATATATGTGTGAGTTGCATGCATGCTGTTAGTACGCGCATGTATCGCACGTACAAACACACACACACGAGCGCTCGTCTCCCCGCCGTGGACTTACTCGTTGATGGTGATGCGCGTCGGCACCTTGTACCAGAGGCGCGCGTATCGCACCGGGGTCACGGGCTCCTGGGGGTCGCGGTCCACGTGCAGGTGCAGCATGAGGCGCGAGAAGGAGGCGCGCAGGTCGTAGGGCAGCCCCTCGTCCGACATGCAGTGCAGGATCAGCTCGACGCTCAGCTCCGAGGAGAGGCGGTCGATGGCGAGGTACTGCCGGTCCAGGCACATCCTCGAGAAGAGGTTCAGCTGGTACCTGCGCGGGAGGGCGGAGGTGGCGGAGGTGGCGGAGGTGGCGGAGCGGTGGAGGGGGGGCACGGTAGACACGTAGACGTGCGTTACACGCAGGAGAGAGACGGAGAGAGCGGCGCCAACTTAAGCCACGATTCCTCGCAAAGCGTCGGGAGTTGCGGCCGCGAGCGTCGGTTTCCAGACCTGTAGTAGACGAGGATCTCGTCGTCGTCGGCGTTGAAGGTGCGCGAGCTCTCGGCCAGCGCTCGCACCGACTTGCTGTGCGGCGACTTCTCCGAGTCGCGCCAGTACAGCCACACCTCGCAGTACTGGTTCGTGGCCGTCATCTGGCACAGCCTGGCGGGCGCACGCACACGGACGACGCGCGGCCGCGGGGATCGAGCGGGGTTCAACGCGGAGGGTCGTACGGCAAGGGGGTTGTCGCAGATGGGCGCGCTAGTGGGTGAGGGGCGTTGAGTGGGCGAGAGGCTGAATGAGTGGGTGGGTCAGTAAGGAGGGTGGGCAGAGAGGGTGGAAGAGTTGGTGGGTCTCAGTGAGGAAGGAAGCAGAGGTGGGACAAAGTCATTGTTATGCAAGTCCAAGTCGAGTCTGAAGTCATCAAATTCATGACTCGAGTCTGACTCGAGTCCAAGTCACATGACTCGAGTCCACACCTCAGAGGTGGGACAAAGTCATTGTTATGCAAGTCCAAGTCGAGTCTGAAGTCATCAAATTCATGACTCGAGTCTGACTCGAGTCCAAGTCACATGACTCGAGTCCACACCTCTGGAAGGAAGAGAGTTATTGAGTTTGTGGGTGAGGAGGTAAGCGAGTTGGCCAGTTGGTGGGTGGGTGAGTTGGTGGGTGAGTTGGTGGGTGGGTGAGTTGGTGGGTGGGTGGGTGAGTTGGTGGGTGAGTTGGTGGGTAGGTGAGTTGGTGGGTGAGTTGGTGGGTGGGTGAGTTGGTGAGTGGGTGGGTGGGTGAGTGGGTGAGTTGGTGGGTGGGTGAGTTGGTGAGTTGGTGAGTGGGTGGGTGGGTGAGTGGGTGAGTTGGTGGGTGGGTGAGTTGGTGATGGGGGGCCCTCACTTGGTCTCCAGCAGGATGTCCGAGTTGGTGGGGTTGAGCACCGACTTGCAAATGAGCTCCTGCGTGACGGCGATGGCCGTGTGGTTGGAGACACACAGGTCGGCCAGGTACTCCAGGAACCTGCAGGGCGGACACGGCGACCCTCGTTAACCGCCGTGAACCAGTCACCCGGAACGAACCTGCACCGCCCTCGCCAGCGGCGGAGCGAGGGAGCGAGCGTGCGCAGGCGGTGCACCTGCACCTGGGGAGCCCATGGGCCACCCCAGGCACCGGGCCACGAAGGGGGGGGGAGACACATGGATAGCGCTTTACTGTCGCGGCTGTGGGCGGCACCTGGGCTCGCGGTTCTTGCGCAGGAGGCTCACGAAGGTGTCCACCTCGGCGGCCGTGATGTGCTTCTCGAGCAGCTTGCGGTTGTTGTGCAGCAGCGCGGTGATGGTGTCCTCCGCCAGCACGTCGTAGCCAATCTGCTTCTGCATGAAGCCGAACTGCTTGGCGATGTACTCCTGTGGGGAGGGGGGGCGGGGGTGGGGGGGCACATGATGAAGATTGCTCGGTGATTGGAAGCTCCCTTTGCTGTGCAGTGAATATAAATATTACCGTTGGCTTGTCCTGGATTATGATTGGACGCTACCTGTACTGTGAGTATAATCATTATCGCTAAGCTCTTGGCTTTTAATTGTAGTTTGTCTGCGTTCTATCCGTAACAAGAATGCAGTTATCCACAGGTTGTACTGTGCGTAGCAATACCAGCAGCAACAATAATTATCATCGTTATTCTATCACGGCACTGGCTGAGCGAGGCGTTTGTCCACCTGGTTCTTGCGGTAGTCCTGCTGCGAGTGGCGCAGCACGCGGTAGCACAGCTGGCAGATGTACTTGTAGGGCGCGTGCTTCTGGTCGGAGAGCTCCTCCAGCCGCAGCAGCGACTCTCGCCCGTTCCCCGAGAACGGAGCCTGCAGCAGCCGGAAGATCTGCGCGCCAAAAAAAAAAAAAACACGGAACGCAACCTCAACGGTAAAAATCTGAATCGGAATCTTTACAAGGACTCCTCTACTTATGAACACACTCGACTTACGAACTTTCAGAGATACGAACAAACCTATTCCGTCTGTCCAGTTGCCTGCAGAACGTGAAGAACCAGTGGCATCTACGTCTACAGGAGATTATACAACTTTTAAAGCATTCGCCATTTTTAGTGCACATGCCGTCCAACACGTTTAGAATCGATAGGAGTAAAGTTGAACTTACGAACAGACCTCTGGAACCTAACTCGTTCGTAAGTCGAGGAGTCCCTGTACTTAGACTGGAGGAGGAATCCGATGAGCTATGAAGCTCTTTTTCACAGATGTCCAGTTGGGGCGGGTCATAAAGTTACAGAGGAGGGCCCAGATGGCATGGGTGGGCAGAGATGCGGGTGAAGTGGATGATGTGTGGGTGTGTGAGTGGGTGGCCAAGGGGAGTGAGCGTGCGTGCATGTGGATGATTGGTCAATCTGTCCGTGAACAAGTGAATGAATAAGTGAGTCAATGGGTGAGTAAGGAAATGAGTGTGTCGATGAGTGTGCGGGCGAATGAGTAAATTAACAGGTGAGCGAGTAAGGGGAGCGAGTGAGTGAGCGAACGAGCAGGTTTAGCGAGCGCGCATATGCGAGCAGACGGGGGGCGTGACGTGGCGGTTGACAGAGTAGTAATTTGCGAGCAGGCGAACGATCCGCGCGTCACGACAGCGACGACCACGGCGAGGTGGCGGGCGACGCGACGCACCTGCTTGAGGATGTTCTGCTCGCGCGTCAGCTTCTGCCGCTCGCGGTTGGGCTTGGAGATGGCCACCTTGAGGGGCTCCTGCCCGTTGTTGGGGATGTCGGCGATGAAGAAGATCAGGTCCTCCAGCAGCTTCGTGACGAACCTGGCGGAGGGGCGGAGGGTCACCAAGCCGCCGCGAACCCCGGCACGGATCGGCCAGTCGACGAACCGCAGCGTCGGCACGAGCCCTAACGGGGGCAGCCGCCAATCACCTCTCCTGCCCCGCCCACCTTTCTCACAAGCCCCGCCCACCAATAATAATGATGATGATGATGACGAGCATCTCCCAATGGTGCGCCATCCGCGGGAGGCGCACTTCGGTCGAGGCGTTTTCAGCCAACTGGCGACGAGTTGTTCACAAGTTGCGGGAGGAGAAAACCGGAGCACCCCGAGAATAGCCCCCACGCGTGTGCCAGCGGCGCCTTCCGCGACGTGCAACACTCGCGCGGCCCACCCGGCCCTCGCTGCCGCCTCCACGGGGCCACAGGATTTCAGTCCACATGCAGAGCAGCCGCCGCTGCATCGGCCGTCCCCGCCGGCCATCACACAACCCCAGCCCCCCCACCAGCCCCCACCAGCCCCCAAACCGTGCTCACTTGCGCTCGTTGTGCGTGAGGTCGGCCTTCTCCATGCTGTCGGAGACGAGCGCGAGCACCTTGCAGGCGTCGTTGGCGAAGTCGAGGTCGCGCACCTCCGCGGGCGACACGGGCACGATGGCGAACGCCTCCTTGTCCTCCTTGAGCGGCGACGTGCCGATCTTGAGCATGACGGGGCGCTCCTCGGACGCGTCGATGGGGATGAACGTGCTGTGCACCCACGTGTTGGTGCACAGGTGGCGCAGGCGCACAAACGAGTTGCTGCGGGACAGCGACGCAGCGGAGGCAGGGAGGGGGAGAGAGGGAGAGGAGTTACCCGCTGCGTGGACATGTGGACGCGTCGAGCCCTCGGGGTGGACCAGCTGCGATCGCCTGCGAGGGTTTTGCGCGTTCATGCCGAGTGTGTGGCGTGCCCTCGAAGCTAAGCAGGTTCGAGCCTGGACAGTGCCGGGAAAGGGGATCCACCGTGCACACGACAGGTGCTATGGGCTGCTGCGGGGCTACGTGGCTCGCAGCAGCAGCATTCACCCTACGCACAGACTTCTTAGAGACTAAAGGCCACCACCTTTTTATTGAAGGCCCCACACTCTCTCGCCTGGCTTTCGAGCGACGCAAATTTTGGCTCGGCGCCTCAGAGTCACGCTCATTTAACTCCGCAAAACGCGGCGTGCGTTACACATTGCATCATAGTAATTATCGTCATTGTTGTTGTTGTTGTTGTTTGCTGCTATCATCGTCTGCGTGGCTTGGGGCGCCACGGTGGCAAGATGTTAATTACCTCACCTGGTATACAGGAGGTCGTGGGTGCAATGCCGACCCTGACCCCTGTATGTTTGGAGTTTGCGTGTTCTCTCTCCCTGTGGTCACGTGGATTTTTCTCCAGGTCCTCCGGTTTTTCCCTCCACATTTAGAAACACGCGTTTAGAGTATTTGGCCTCTATACGTTTCCACATTGATGAGCCAACTTTGTTGAGATATCATTTGCGGCCAGGTCGCTTCTAAAAAATGAGCTACATAGCCCCCGTGGGGCCTTACCTGGTAAAATAAAAAAAATGTTTTTGTTAACAGCTTTTAGTTTGTTGACCCCCGTTACAATCCGGGCGGCGCCCCTCACCGTGGCACGAGCGAGTCCCCGCGCTGCAGCGTCGTGGGATCCAGCTCGAAGATGGAGGCGATGTCGTCTCCGTGCGGCACCGAGATGAGCGTGAAGTGGATGTGCTCCTGGCGCCGGCGGGCGCGCGTCCGCGGGCCCTCCGGCGGAAACTCCGTCTCCACCTGCACGGCGAGGACCGACCAGCCAGGTTGTACGTCTGTGTGCTGCGCTGGGGGAGCGGTGGTGCAGCGGTTAGCGCCACGCTGCGCTACGAACCTGGCGAACCAGGTTCGATTCCCGCTCACGGTCAACACCAGTGACGATTATCTGAACCGGTCCAAGGCCTCCCCTACCACCAAAGACAAAGATCCCCCATATAGCCTTAACAGACTGTTGGGTGTGAAGTGCTCTGAGCGAGCCTCAAATGAGTACCTGGTGTGGTGTGTAAACATCGCCACAGGGGAGACAAAGGCGGCTGGCCGTGGTGCTGTCCACCTACCCCCTCGTGCGCCGTTTTTAATGTGGTCATTTGTGTCCGGCTAAGACCATCAACTCAGCCAACGCTTGGTCTGCACAGTGGGAGCGCAGCACTCTCCCACCCACTCTGCCAACGAGAGTAACGTTTGTGGTACGGCCCTCAAAACCCACGTGGTTCATTCTCACTCACTGCACTTGAGAACCCGGTTTAATCACAGGCAGTGGCCAGAAACCGGATTGGAACTGAACAGCTCAGCGCTCTGACCCCTGACCCCCAAGCCACTCGGCCCGCCTCTGCAACGCGTGACCTGGCGGCCGCGTGAGCAGTGAGCGAGGAGTGCGTGATGTGAGGTGAGCGACGTGAGCGATGTGAGCGAGTGAGTGAGTGAGTGAGGTGAGCGATGCAGCGAGTGAGCGAGTGAGGAGTGAGGGTGAGCGAGGTGAGTGAGGAGCGAGTGAGTGAGTGCGTTGCAGCGGTCTTCGTCGTTCTCGCCTCTCCCTCCTCCGTCCGGCACTTCGTTGCCAACGGCCGCGCACAATGCGGTACTCACGGGGGTTTGCGGGGAAGCCACACTGCCTTCGTCCTGGTAATCGGGGTTGATCTAGGACGATATAAAACATATTGAAATAAACTCATTAGCGGCTCATTCGCAACCAAGCGATAATGACAACGATGACGGCCTTTATTTACAACAACGAATGCACACTCAGCCGCATGCACACATACCCACGGCCATTTTGCATAGCCCCGCCCACTACTCCAGTAGCCCCGCCCACTTCTCCGATAGCCCCGCCCACTATTCCTGTAGCCCCGCCCACTATTCCGGTAGCCCCGCCCACTACTCCGGTAGCCCCGCCCACTACTCCGGTAGCCCCGCCCACTACTCCGGTAGCCCCGCCCACTGATGGGTAGCCCCGTCCACTACTCAGGTAGCCCCGCCCACTGATGGGTAGCCCCGCCCACTACTCCGGTAGCCCCGCCCACTACTCCGGTAGCCCCGCCCACTACTCCGGTAGCCCCGCCCACTACTCCGGTAGCCCCGCCCACTGATGGGTAGCCCCGTCCACTACTCAGGTAGCCCCGCCCACTGATGGGTAGCCCCGCCCACTACTCTGGTAGCCCCGCCCTCTGCCCACATCACGAGTCGAGATTGACCCTTCACCGGATTGGCACAGATCACGGAAGATGCCGATGCCTCGTGCGCGAGTGCACGACTCTCCAACACCAAACCGATGACCGTATCGCTTCGCACTGCCCCAACCCAACGCTGTATGGAGTTGAAGGCGGCGAATCCGCCGTTTTCGCCAAATCTCAGACAAAGCAACGCGATGTCTCAGTCACCTGCAATGGCAGCTGCTCTTCACTGGTCGTGCGAAATTATCGCGAGTCGAGCGCCAGGCCAGAAACGCGTTCACAAGCAGGGGGGGGGGGGGGAGTGGTGACGTCATGGCCGCTCCGGGGACGCTCGGTGGCTCTAGCGGTGGTGGCACTAGCGGTGTCCCGAGCGGAGCTCACCTCTGCCGCGAGGTATTTCTCCGTAGCCAGGTGCTTGAAGCGGAAGAGCGTGTTCCAGTGTCCGGCGCCACCACGGCACGGGCAGTGCTGCACCACCTGATGGCGACAGCGGCGACAACGGCGATGGCGTCAGCGGTCGCGGCCGTGGGCCGGGGGGTTTCTCACTCGCGTCTCATCGCGTCTCATCGCGTCTCATCGCGTCTTCTCGTGTCGCCGGGCAGAAACGCAACAAATCAGACCGGCGACAGCTTGGGGAGGCCTTCATCCAGCAGTGGATTGATCATGGCTGATGATAATAAAGTCAAGGCGCCCTTCCTCCTCTAGCCCAGCTTAAATATACGCTGCCAAGCTTGGTGGTGTTCATTCAGACGCTGTCTTTCCGACAGCCCTGTTCTTCACCTGAGGACGGCTGCTTGCGTTGTGGCCGAAACGTCGTGAGAATTGTATTTTATTATGTTTTATTTTAATTATTTTATTATTTCTCTTCTACGTGACTTTACCGAAAGAACCAAGAAGATGAATCCCTGCAGTCACGAAAGCTTTAAATCGAAAAATAAAGTCAGAGTGATGTTCTGCTCAAATGAGCAATGAGGCATTGGTGCTCAACCTCCTGTTTGCAGTCCTGAGGCAGTGGTGGAAAGTCCACATTCTTATGGTGGGGGCATGTCTCTCCATAGGACAACACCTTCCCACAAAGTGGCAGCTTAAAACCCAGAGGGATGATGTGGCGAGTCAACACCCAGCCAGGATGTGAACTCGCAACCTTGTGACCGCGAGCAGCTTGCTGTACACATCTATCTTTGTTCAACCTCTTTCCCACCGTACGCCGAGCAGATGACGAAGGCGACGCGTGCACGATGCTCCGCAGATTCGAGCGCCCTGGAAAGCAAAACGCGATCGAACCCGAGGCGAGCGGCAGACACTCCCACGTGAGGTCTTGGCCGGGGGCGCACGCACCTCGACCTCCCAGAGTGCCTTGGGGCTGGTGGCGGAGGTGGCGGACTCGCGCAGCGTCGTGCGCAGGAACACGTACTCCTTCTTCTCCTTGTAGACGTCGCACGTCAGGAACTTCTCCTGCTCCGCGTGGAAGAGACGCACCACGTCCCCCTGCAGAGCAAACATGGTCAGGAACGGTCCACGCCGTTAATTTAACACGTGGGCTTTCGCCACCGATAATATTCAGCATCTTTACGGCGTATTAGCAATTCGCCACGAGCCGAACTGCCGTACCGAATGGTCCTTTTTCAGCACAGCACGTGGGGCGACGTCGCACGCCACGGCCAAAACAACGACTCGGCCTGGTGGCGGCGCGCATGGCGAGCGTGGTGGGTGTGGTGAGCGTGGTGAGCATGGTGTGCGTGGTGAGCGTGGTGAGTGTGGTGAGGGTGGTGAGTGTGGTGAGCGTGGTGAGTGTGGTGAGTGTGGTGAGTGTGGCGAGTGTGGTGAGCGTGGTGAGCGTGGTGAGCGTGGTGAGCGTGGCGAGTGTGGCGAGTGTGGTGAGTGTGGCGAGTGTGGCGAGTGTGGTGAGTGTGGTGAGTGTGGTGAGTGAGGCGCGCGTGGTGAGTGTGGTGAGTGTGGTGAGCGTGGTGAGTGTGGTGAGCGTGGTGAGCGTGGCGAGTGTGGTGAGTGTGGTGAGTGTGGTGAGTGAGGCGCGCGTGGTGAGTGTGGTGAGCGTGGTGAGTGTGGTGAGTGTGGTGAGCGTGGTGAGTGTGGTGAGTGTGGTGAGTGTGGTGAGCGTGGCGAGTGTGGTGAGTGAGGCGCGCGTGGTGAGTGTGGTGAGCGTGGTGAGTGTGGTGAGTGTGGTGAGTGTGGTGAGTGTGGTGAGTGAGGCGCGCGTGGTGAGTGTGGTGAGCGTGGTGAGTGTGCTAGTGGTGAGCGTGGTGGTGAGCGTGGTGAGCGTGGTGAGCGTGGTGAGCGTGGTGAGTGTGGTGAGAGCGGCGAGCGCGGCGAGCGCGGCGAGCGCGGTGAGCGTGGTGAGCGTGGTGAGCGTGGTGAGCGTGGTGAGCGTGGCGAGTGTGGTGAGCGTCAGTGCAGACCGATCGTTTTGGACTTTCCCTTGTGTGTGCACTCTGTTACCGCCAACCCTCTCAGAAATGCCGTCTCCACCTCCATCAAGAAGTAACAGAAAGGGGCTGAAGTATAAAATCCTGAGTCTGCGAGACAAATCCAAAGTTTAGGACAGAATTGATGCAGGGTGTGTGTCGATGCGTATGCGGTGTGAAAAGTTTGGAAAACTAATTTGGATTATTTTTCTAATGGGCCAGGAGGCACTGGGGAGTACCGTTGGACATAGTTTGGAATACTGGATAATTCGGCAAGGCCACAGCCCCATATGTGTCGAATTAACAAGACACATCGTCGATATCATCATCGTGAACGTCAACATCACCGTCGGCATCGGTTTAACCATGACCAACACCACGTCATGTTTCGACGGTGGCGCCTGCTCCCGCGCAGTACATCGCATGGAGACCCAGGGGGCACTCGAGCCCAGGGGGGGGGGGGGGGGGCAAGGTGACTTCCAGTGGGCGTAACACCCACCACGATCGTCAACGTGACAATCAGCAGCAGCAGCAGCACTATGACCACCACCAAAGACAAAGATACCCCGTCCAGCCTAACAGACTGTTGGGGCAAGTGCTGTTAGCGAGCACCGATGAAGTCTGGTAATGGCCCACGAGGGGGTGGGTGGGCAGCACCACGCCCGACCGTCTTTGTCTCCCCAGCGGCGATGTTTACGCACCGCACCGGGTACTCATTTGAGGCTGAGTCGACCTAAGGGAGGCCCAGAACCGGTTCAGATAATCGTCACCGGTGTTGGCTGTTAGCGGGAATCGAACTCGGGTCGCATGGCTTGTAGTACAGCGCGCTAACCACTACACCACCATCATCAACATCACCATCATCAACATCACCATCATCAACATCACCATCAGCAACATCATTATGGCCTCTGTCTGGAAGCTGGCAAAGTGCCCTCTTGATGGACGGACGTAAAATTCCCCGGGCAACGCGGTAGGTAAGCAGCTCGACGGCTCACTTTAATAACGGACGAACGAGTGAGTTAATTAATGATCTCACGAGTGAAATAAGTGAATGAGTAAATGAATGAGTGAATGAATGATTGCGTGAAATTAATGAACGAGTGAATGAACGAGTACGTGAATGAGTGCATGAATGAGTGCATGAATGAGTGCATGAATAAGTGCATGAATGAGTGCATGAATGAGTGCATGAATGAGTGCAGGAACACATACCCCTTTGAGGATGTCCTCCTGGTTGTCGCTGTACTTCATGAAGAGTGTGATCTTCCAGCTCGTGTCGCACTGCACCGAATTCACCTGCGCAACACGCACCGCAAACGGACCTAACGGATCTGGATACGTATGATTCCGACCGCCAAATTTAGCCCGATCGTGTCTCACCGGTGCCGTGTCAGATCTCCCGTACGGCAGGGCGATCCTTCGCGTTGGAGAACGGCCCACGGAAGCGGCTACCGCAGAGCTACCTCTGAAGAGCCCTTGAAGCGAGTTCTAATCTACCCAGTAGGCGGTAGCCCACTCCCACCTGACCCTCTTGCTCAGAGAGTAATTCTCATGGCACGAAATCAAACTGATGCTCGTAACTCTCGGAGCGCAGAACTCAATTGAATGTGATGCCTTGTTTTGTGCGGTCATCGATGACCGGGCTCAGACCATCGACCCACTTGCACCTGGGAACCCAGTCTGAGCACAACTTAGTCTTGTGATTCTCTGGGTCTCTACGTGAGTCTATGGGTCTCTACGCGAGTCTGTCAGTCTCTAACCAAGCCGCTGGTGACGGGGCCCAGGTTTGCGCACAGCTGGCCGAATCCTGGATTAGAACCCAGGATCTCAGCGGTGCCGGTTGACTGCTCCAACGCCCGAGCCACCCGGCGACTTTAACAACGTAACAATCGACTCCGCGTCATGCGTCTGCCCTCCTCCTGGCCGCGATTGCCGTGCCGAGGCGTGGATTCGGGGTGGCTGTGTTTGTTTGACGTTCCGAGCGAGCGCGCACCTCGTTGCTGCCGGGATTGTCCACGAGCTCGAAAGTGCTCGCGTGCAGCGGCTGCCCGGCGTTCACGGGGTTCAGCACCACCTTGTCTCCCACAACCACCTGGGGGCGGCACAGCCGGGCACGGCCAGGCACGGCCAGGCACGGGGAGAGCACAACCGGTCACAACCGGTCACAACCGGTCACAACCGGTCACAACCGGTCACAACCGGTCACAAGCGGTCACAACCAGGCACGGCCGGGCACAAGTGGACACAAGCGGGTACAGCCGGACATAACCGGGCCCGGACGTACACAACCAGGCACAACTGCACAGACGCAACCGGGCACGGACGGGCACACAGCGAGACGACGACACTCAAGACGAGGGACGTCCAGGATTTGACGTCGAGCGAGACGCCGTCTGCCGCTGGCGCCGCGTCCCCCGCGTGCGCACGGCCGCCCGTGCCACGGACTCACGTTGTCGCCGGGCACGCGCAGCTTGTAGAAGGGCTGGATGTAGAACCACGAGCCCTCGTTGCCCGAGGGGTCCAGCATCACGCGCATCGCCTTCTTCTCCAGCAGCGCCGGCAGACGCTTGTTCACCGTCATGTACTTGTTGCTCTTCATGTGCAGCAGCTGGCGCACGCGCAAAGACCCCCCAACCCCCGTGCAGCCTTTAACAAGAAGCTGGGGCGAGTGCCGTTAGAAAGTGCTGCTGTCCGTCCCCTCCGCACCGCCGATTAGCACGGTTGACTACGTACGGTGCGAAAGAAGGTCGACGTTCGTACATGCATACGAGCAGCACCTGGGAAGGCCGGCACGGTACACAATGGGGTGGGTGGCCAGAACCACACCCGGCCACTTTTGCCCCACTTGGTGGCGATGTTTACACATTGCACCCGGTACTCATTTAAAGCTGAGTTGACCTCGGGGAGACCCGGGACCGGTTCAGAATATCGTCACGGGTGTTGGCTGTCGTGAGCGGAAATTGAACTCGGGTCGCCGGGTTTGCAGTGCAGCGCGCTAACCGCTTCACTGCCGCTCGACGCACGCATTCGCCACTAAGTGGCAGTGACGTCACCACGGTGCTTGTGCCAGGCTATGTGCACGTTGAGGCCACGTGAAATGTTGAACGCCCGCTGGCAGGAGGTCACGGGGAAGACCCAGGTGCCACGGGTCGACTGAAATGACTGGCCGATAAATCCACTGCTGGATGAAGGCCTCCCCGCGCCGTGGTCGACGCTGTGATGGTTAATTGGCAGTAAGCGAGTCGCGGGACCATGAGAGACGGCGATGACTCAGGGAGGCCTTCATCCCACAGCGGCTCGATCGTGGCCGACGACAACGATGACGACGATCACCCGGCAAGTACCTGCACCACGTTTCCGTACTGAACGACGTTTCCCAGCAGCTTTTTGTTCTCCGTGTCGTTTTGCTTCTTTTCAAGTTCCGCGGCGTGCTGCAACGAAACAAGACACGTCACCGCCGCGCGTGGACTCGCGCAACACGCTCCGACAAAAAAACACCCGCCCGCCCGCGCTCGCCAGTGCTATCGTTCGCGATGACGACCACGATGCTCGGTCCAGGTGGTGCGCACGAAGGAACCGTGCCTGGTGGTGGCGGTTGGTTGGTGGTGGTTGAGGCGGGGGATTTGAATAAACTCGGCCGGATTCTTTCAGCTGCCGCGCCGGGAGATGGAGTCGACCCCGCGCCCTCGCGCATGGCAAGTCCAGCAGCATGCCGCCCGCGACGTTCGCTCCACGCGAGAGATGACGTCATCAGCAGCAGCGTGCGCAGTTGGCGCCACGATGGCAAGATGTTAACGACCTCGCCTGCGATGCAGGAGCTCGTGGGTTTGATCCCTACCCTGGTGCTTGCTGTCTATTTGGAGTTTGCGTGTCTCTCTCCCAGTGGTCGCGTGGATTTTTCTCCGGGTCATCAGGTTTTTCCCTCCGCATTTAGAATCAACGTGCGTTCAGAGTATTTGGCTGCTATACATTTCCACACGATAAGCCACTTTGTTGATTTGTGGCCAGGTGGTATCTGAAAAAGAGCTATATAGCTCAGTGGGCTATTACCTGGCAAAATAGAAAATTGTTTAGTTTAAATAGTTTTAGTGCTGCGGGGCCAACTTTTTGCTCTGTTTTTTTTATTTGGGCAACACTTTTTCACCGGGCAATTCCTTAACAGCGACACGGCATTATACTAAAGTTACATAAATATTTCACCGTGCGAGCGCGAGTTTATAGAACCAACCCCCCAACCCCCTTAATGGACAAAGAGACGGACGGACAGAGTTGATGCATCTTTGCGTCCAACCTTGAGATGAACAAATCGAATCGCCCCAAAGGCTTGAGAGCTTCTGGGAGGAGGGCTCTGAGGGGTGAACGGTCCCAACGGGGCTACGTTGAGAGCCGCTCACTCGTCAGGGAGTCGTGCAGAGGGGCGAGAGCCGTGTCGGGTTTTTTTGGGGGGTATTTGAGCCGGCTTTGCCCCCGGTCCTCCTGTGGAATTTTTAGGGCAACCGAACGGTTGCACTGTGACCCTTGCATCACAAGAAAATAATTTAATCAAGGCCAACGCTGAGTAGCGGGCTAGGGAGCACAACTTTAGCCAGACGCACGACACGGCAAATATTTAACTCGGGGCGGTGCAAATGCTTTTCACCGCAAGCTGCAAAGTCAGAAACGACCCCCCTCTCTCTCCCGTTTCTTTTGTCGTCTGTTTGTTAAAAGCCATTTTTAACCGGGTGTGAATGTGTGTTTGTGTGCACGTGTGTGTAGGGAGTGGAAGTGTGACCCGAGTTCGATTCCCGCTCACGGCCAACACCGGCGACAGTTATCTGAACCGGTGCTGGGCCTCCCCTAGGTCGACTCAGCCTCAAAAAAGTATCTGGTGCAGTGTGTAAACATCAGTATCACAGGGAGGGAAAGGGGGCCGCCAGGTCCGGTTCTCGCCACACCACCCCCTCGTGTGCCGTGCCGACCTTAATAGGTGCTCGCCAACAGCCCTGACAGTCTGCTTACAAGGCTATACGGGGGAGCTTTGCCTTTGTATGCCCGAGTCCGTCTCTGTCACCTCCTGCCACGCGCGGTGGCAAGCCGCAGGAGGGAACATGCCCGAGAGGACGTCTACCGTGGAGATGGAGCGGGCGCTGGACGAGGGAATGCTGCGCGCCGCGAGAGCTCGGGGAGGCGCTCGCCCAGCGGCGGACAGGTCGCAGCCGACCACCATGGCGGCACGGCATTTTAAAACAACCGGCATTTGCATCCGCTTGCTCTGTCGCCATGCCACAGTTCCGTCCCACGTGTGCAGACCCACGCGCTTCGCACGCGCGTGCGAAGCGCGGGTGGTGTGCGCGCACACTGCGCACGCAAGCGGCAGTGGCACGGCACGGCAGAGAAAAGGGGAACGACACGTGCTAGTGCGACGGGTTTGAGCGTGCGCGTGCGACGGGTTAGTCAGCCGGGGAGGAGGAAGTGTGCCGAGGCCCGATAGCACCGCGGTCAACGGTAGACGGCTTCTGCTCAGAAGCCGCGCGCGTGGGTTCTAAAGCGTGTGAGAATGGCGAGCGTGTACATGAGCGTGAGCGTGCGAGCGGTTAGTGTGCGTACACGATGAGTGTGCGCGTGCGCACTGCGTGCCCGGGCACGCCGACTGCCCCCGTAGCTGCCAAATTACGCTTTATATTAATAATAAATAATTCTGCCACGCAAACCGCATGAATGGCGTTACCCCCCCCCCCCCCAGCCTCGCCATTGCAATCGGCGCGAGGGTGAGATTTTTCCACTTAGCCCCAATGGGGTCGAACGATCGATTTCATTCAGAAAAGCTAAGCAACCTACGCCCCTCCTGGAACTCTCGCAGCCTCCTAGCATTCACGAGCCCTGACGGGATCCCAAAGCTGCGTCATTCCGTCTCAGCATTACCACCCGGCGGAATCCAACACTTGCCACAGCTTGACTCCAAGTCCAACTAAATAATAGGCGAGAGGAAAGCATCCACATATTGGAAGCGTGGGAGTACCCACACTTTACCGCACCACACGCGGCCCGCCAAACCGATAGCCGCGGCGGTGAACCCATGTCCAGTGCACTGCTGGGTGGACAGTGGTGGTGGTTGGTGGTGGTGGTTGGTGGTGGTGGTGGTTGGTGGTTGTGCCTGGTGGTAGCGGTTGGTTGGTGGTGGTTGAGGCGGGGGATTTGAATAAACTCGGCCGGATTCTTTCAGCTGCCGCGCCGGGAGATGGAATCGACCCCGCGCCCTCACGCATGGCAAGTCCAGCAGCGTGACGCCCGTTTGCGCCACCGTGGGGTGACGTCACTCTCCAACCCACCGGCGTGCCGAACTCGGAGCTAATTGGCACGTCTTTTGTTTACGTGACAAACCTCGCTAAATTGGATGTGTCGGGCGATGGCGTGTTTAACGACACACACATTTATATTTACGCAATCTCACCCAAAAAAAACTGTATTATGGATAATATTGGTTGCAAAAGCCTACTCCTACGTGTTCAACTGCTGCCCAGAGATGGTATGGGTGGGTGGGGTTGCCTTGAAGCTGCCGAGTCAGCAACAACTTGTTGGTGGGCGAAGCTAAGCCCGGTGGGCGAAGGTTTGTCGTCCTTCAGCTCAACAATTATCTGTTGCATCTTCAACAGTGCTGTACGTCGCTGGCCGTTTGGCGTTTTGGGCCCCTTTTGTTGGGGGTTTGAGGTGCCTGTGCTCAGCAACGGTGGTTTAAAACAATCAAAAGTGAGAGTATTTTTACGATTCGCTTATGTATTTTGAATTTGTTTGAGTTAAAAAACTGAAATGATGCTTAGAAAGGCTAAAGATGTGTACATCCTTTTTTCTGAAAACGTCAATTCTACTGCCAAACAGCGGCTCAGCGGTAGCGCGTTCGACGCTTGGCGCAGAGGTTCGAATCCAGTGGCCCCCCTGGTTACTACTACACATCTGTTAACCCTAAGAATAATAATAATACTACTACTACTATGCGCCATCTGCTCCACACACAGTGGACGTTAAAGATCCCGTGATGTAATTCGCAAAGAGTCGGCTGCAGTGTGCCACCGGCGTCCAAACTTGTCACATTCGAGAACGAGACCGCAAATCACTCGAGCGAGATTCCACACACACACAGCAGCAGCGGCGGCGGCGGCAATCACTGCCGGGCCCCCTACCGGCGGCAGACTCACTCCCCCCCCAGGTAACTCTCGCGAATTCTCAGCTGCTGAAGCTTTATAAACGTGAAACCGGACGTGCGAGTGTGATTTCGTGGGATATCAGGTTTTTGTTTCCAGGACACCCTTGAGAATTCATCGAATTTGCTCAGCAAATGGGAGGAGAGGTTGGCGGTGGTGAATCATTACCATGCCTGGGTACAAAAATGTGCCCCCACCACCAAAGACAAAGATCCCCCGTATAGCCTTAACAAACTGTTGGGTGGGAAGTGCTGTTAGCGAGCCTCAAATGAGAACCTGGTGCGGTGTGTAAACATCGCCGCTGGGGAGACAAAGGCGGCCGGGTGTGGTGCCGGCCACCCACCCCCTCGTGTGCCATGCCGGCCTCCATAGGTGCTCGCCCCCACCACCGCCACCACCACAACAAACATGCCTGGCGTATATAATTATGTAATTCGCTTGGTCATTCATCCAGACGTGACGGCCAGCCAGCAGGGAGCACTCTGACGTGAAGTCCGGTACCGTACGGACTGCAACCCGCTCCCCAGATAAGGTCGGAGTGAGCGGCTCCCCACTTGCAAAGTTCTAAGTTCAAATCCTAATTGGGGGTTGACCCAGCCCATCATCCCTCCGGTCCGGGGGTTGGTAAAACGAGTGCCACTTTGGGTGGAGAAGTCAACAGCGGTTGTCCTATGGAGAGACTCGCCCCCCCCCTCTGCCCCCAGCTCGAATGCGCCGGTGGAAAACCATCCGCACCTGGCATGGCTCAGATGCGCCAGTGGAAAATCATCTGGACCTGGCATGGCTCATATGCGCCGGTGGAAAACCACCCAGACCTGGCATGGCTCAGATGCGCCGGTGGAAGAGAGGCAACTGCAGTGGCGGTGGAAGGGCGATCGTGCGGATCACTCACGTGGAGCTTCTTGAGAAGAGCCGGGTCGGTGTTGGCCCCGGCCTTGGCCGCGTTCCAAAACTGCTTCTGCGCGGAGTAGCGATTCATCGGGCATATCTTGAAGAGGCAGTCTGAGGCGGGAGACCGACCAGCACGTGGCAGCAGGGGGGGTGGAGGGACACAAGCGCAAGGTGCTGTTATCAACCGGAGGCCCGTAGCAGCGATACAAATCATAATACATCTGTCTGGCCACGACGCAGTGAACGCACATGGCACCAGGTACTCGGTTTAAACCGAAACAGGCCTAGGAGGAGGCCGCAATGATAGCCGAGTCGAGATTTTCACCCGAGCCAACAGATCCAGTACATTGCTCTCTCTCGCACACACAGACACACACAGACCCTTGTACAGGCTGCGGCGTTGGGGCAGGTGGTGTTCGCAGGTACCTACGATGGCCAACACCGCAGCAGGCAATGTAAGGTCTGGTTTAGATCGCACTCGCCACTCATGATGGCCACGATCGGCAAGCGAACTCAGGTCCCCGGGTTCATTGCGCAGTGTCTTAGCCCCCGTCGGGGGCAAGTGCTGTTAGCGTGCACCAATTAAGGATGGCACAACGCACGAGGGGTGAGTGGCCAGCACCACGCCTGCTGCCACCGGCTCCCCAACACCCACGTCGACTCACTGCAGTCGGTGCAGGGCAGAGTTGACCGCCGAGGGGAGGCCACGACACACGACACACACACTCCTGTGTAGCCGATGCAGACCGCTGGATTGGGCAAATGACGTTACTGAGCACCGATTGAGGCCATGGCGTGGACAGCACCGCATCACCCCCAGGCAGCAACATACACACAATGCCAGGTAAGCATTTATCGAGGAGTCGAATTGCGATTGGGGAGGCCAGGCCCTGGACATACGTGACTCGCCACTCCTGTCAGCTGTGACCAGGAATCGAACTCAGCTCCCTGGGTTCAGAGTTGAGCGCCATAGCCACTGTGGGTGTCGCTGTTCGCACGCATTAATCAGGGGACGGGGAAACCTATTCCTTGCCAAAGGCCAAATAGGATCCTCAAACATCTTTTGGCGGAGCCACACCATTAGCACAACCCCGCCGCCGGCGTTATCTCCGATGAAAACGCATAAAATAGCGTGGCAAGTCAACCCTTAAAGGAGAGGGCCTTGCGGTGACAGCAGTGCCTTGAGTACGGCGCTAAAATTCTAAACGCGGTGATGTTACCAGGTTGGCGGAAACCACCCCCCCACCCCCGCCCCCCATCAGTGCGGCCAAGACGCAAGCAGTGAGGAGCAAGTGTCGTCTTGTGGGCCGTTGTTAATGGGCAGGCCTCGCGTGGCCGTGGGCTGCCCCGTGGCCCCGTGGTCCATGGGCTGCCCCCCCCCCCACCAACACGACGCTCAAGCACCGCGCGCTCCCCCAGCACCCTCGCTCGGAGATTGCTCCAAGCGTCGGGTGGCCAATGACGCCACCGCACGCCGCCGGCACGCGACGCACAGCCTTGCCGTTTGGGCCACAATGCTGCCTACAACACCGTGCGAACACTCCCCCGCTCCCCCCCCAGAAAACCCACGCACCGCAGCCCCACGTCCCCCTGTTCCCCAGCGTGCTCCTTCCGTGTCCTGACACAACCCATCGCAGGGAAACGAAATGACCCAAAAGCTGTTTCTCAATCACGGAGCTGCTTGACGGAGCTGCTTGTTGTGACCGCGCGTGCAAGCATGCGCGCCGTGCTTTTATGCAATTACGCTCGCTTGTGCGTGCGTGCACACGCGTGCGTTCATGTTTTCCTTACGCGAACGTTTGCGCGCGTTCGCCTTTTCAGTTTTATCTTCGTACGAGGAAGTTTTTTACGTTTAAAATCCACGCATATTACTTGCCACGGCGCACGCTGGTTCAGGGCAATGGACACTGTAGGTATGTTGAACGTCTTTCGGGACGTGGGTTGCGCACGGTGCCAACCGTACTAAACGGGGGTGCGTCGGAAGGACAACAAACTATACACAAAAAGCAGTTGGGAAAAAATAATTTTTCAACTTTAATTATTTAAAAGTGCATAGCTAAAGGAAAAGCGTTCCAGACGTCCGCAGAAGCGCATCTGAAAGCGTCACGTTGACCGATGAGGAGAGGTGGCCTTGGGCAGGATATGTCGTGAGCAGGGCTGATAAGACACCTAATACACGAAGAACCCAGCAATCCAAGTTCAATTAAGTTACGTTCAGTCTATAAGGGGGATCTTTTTGTTTGTCTGTTTGAAAGTGTGCCAGTGTATGTGTGTGTGTGTAAGTGTTTTCCAAGGTTCACATAAGTGGCGATTATCTAAACCGGTCCTGGCCATCCCCTAGGTCGACTCGGCCTTAAACGAGTACTTGGCACGGTGTGGGGAGACAAGGAGTAGGCGGTGGCGTGGGGTCTTTGTCTGTGTGTGTATCAGCCAGTGTCTGTGTGTGTGTATTTCTTTGTCTGTGCGTGTATCAGCCAGTGTCTTTGTGTGTGTGTCTCTTTGTCTGTGCGTGTATCAGCCAGTGTCTCTGTGTGTGTATTTCTTTGTCTGTGCGTGTATCAGCCAGTGTCTGTGTGTGTGTATTTCTTTGTCTGTAAGTGTTTACAAATATGAAGGAGCTGCCACATTCCTCGGTGCGACTGAACTTTGCCGACGTTGGGCCAACGTTGAAGTAACATCGGCATGTTTCTAGGGTTCTCACCAATGCCGTGTGGTACACGGGGACCAGCCTTCTCCCGTTAACATGAAATAAAACCAACATAGTCACGGCCAAACTCATTAGAAAACATTTCTTTGGCCAGAGAAAGCATGGGAGAGCGTTAAAAACAACACTTCCAGCATCCATCTTCAGAGCGTCGGCCTAAACAGAAACTCGATCTTTAAACATAATAACGAAACACTGACGTGGCACGCTCGCGATGTTAATGAGAACGGAGACCCTCCAGCCGACTCGAAGTAGCAAAAAAATGACAAGATTCGTTTCTCGTTACGTAACGCTTACACGTCGCCGTGGGAGTTAGCGAATGTTACTGGCGCCGTGTTTGCACAAACGAGTAGCTGCCCCAGACGGGAGGCGTATTTACTTTTCAGTCGGGGAGTGTTAGTTTTAGACAGAGTACCGCCGTCTTTAATGCGGCGAATCGCATCTCTCACACATCTCTCACAATTGCCCGAGGAACCACAGACGGGCTTGGAAGGGAGCGGCCGGGCGGTGAGCCGGCGTCAGCAACAGTTGCCCGAGCTCCTGCAAGCCTCTATATATCGAGGTGTTTTCTGGCCAATTGACGAGCGCAACGGACGTGTTGGAGGAAACCGGAGCACACGGAGGAAACCCACGAGGGTGCAAGCGGCCAACAAACACTCTTATCTCATGCGGCAGGGACAGATAATATTAGTCTGCACTTTGCGGACCGCCTTCTCCAGGAGAGCCACTGTATGACACCTCAATGCCCACGGGGAGGCAGTTGGAACAGATGGAAATGAGTCCGTACTTGCTGTCGGACATGGACGGGACAATTTGCGACAAACCCATCGACACGTAGCGGCGCCGACGACTCCGTCGGAATTGTCGCGATTTGGGGCCGCGATGCAAATGAGCGGCCTCTAGTGGCTGCAGGGGTCACACGAACCCATTACGTACGAAGACAACGATGCAGGCCAGCGCTCGTCACCCGTGTTCAGACGGGCGGCCACTCTCGTCGATCTGACATCAGCATGAGGGCCGCCACGCATCTGAAACCATTTGGGGTTTGACAGCACGATGATGGCGGCGTTTTCACATTTGTGTATTGTCAGGGGTCGCACGTCAGGGGCCGCACTAAAGGCCACCGGGGGCCACCAGGGGCCCACGGGGCCTTGCCGTTCGCAGGCGAACAGAACCATACGGGTCCTCACCGGCACGACTCGATGCGCGCGTCGCCATCGTAGGGGAAGCGACGCTTGTGCACTGCGCATCTTCCGTTAGCATTTGGCGTCAATGCCAGTGGAGAACGGCGGTGGCGGGGAGCGCAGATGTGGCAACGTGGCAGAGAACAGTGCGACTGGGCACGGAACGCGCCCGTGAGGGAGAGGTGGTAATAAAGACGGAGCGATGAGATCAGTTCTTGTGCAGGAGTGAGGCTGGACTGTGGCACTGCTAGTACATGAAGGATGGGGAGAATTTTGGAGAGGGGGCCTTCATCCAGTAGATCATGACCGATGCTGCGGATGGTAACACAGCTGTATAGGGCCTATAGACCTTGTTTCCATAGACTAGTGTAGCACCCTGACTTGTGTGGCATGTACCATAGACTCGCACAGGAACCACAGACTCGCATAGGAACCACAGACTCGCATAGGAACCACAGACTCGCACAGGAACCACAGACTCACACATGAACCACAGACTCACACAGGAACCACAGACTCACACAGGAACCACAGATTCGCACAGGAACCAAAGACTCGCACAGGAACCACAGATTCGCACAGGAACCTCACCCGCACAGGAACCACAGATTCGCACAGGAACCACAGACTCGCACAGGAACCACAGACTCACACAGGAACCAAAGACTCACACAGGAACCACAGACCCGCACAGGAACCACAGACTCACATAAAACCCATGAACTTATATAGAATTCACTTTAAAAAGGCACAGACGGACAGAGCTAATGCAGTAACGCTGTCAACCTCATTTGGAAAGCATTTAAATGAAACCAGATTCAGTGGGAATCAAGGTTTCAGGCAAACCCGTTGACCCCACGCTCATCGGCTTTCATAACAAGATCAGAGTAACCTTGTGATTCACGCATGACATGACATTTAAGCAATAAAAACGTCACGTTTTAGTTTATTTCATTTATCAAGAACCTTGAGCATTTGTCAAGAATCCTTAAATATATGAAGTGGCCAGCGTAATCCAAAATAAACCCCTACAAAGTTAATATTAAGAATAAAAATACGGTAACTATATTTCACACGTACAGCCATTCGTGAAATCAACTGGCAGATGAAGGCCTCCTCGTATCGTGGCGTTTGTGGAGGGAGGGGGGATTGCGTGACCATACTTCACCAAGCTGGTCAGTGAGGGCTGGCGAAGGAGATGGGGGTCCAATACCAGTTCAGTT